AAGTTATTTAATTTATATCTGTACGTAACCAATAAACCATTGCTAACGAAAAACGATTCGAAGCGAAAGCTCGGTAAGATATATTTCGGAATGCCACATATATACGATTTTCGTCAAAATTTGATCTAAAACGCTTATGAAAAAAAAAACTAATGCATTGAACTCATATTTGTTTTTCAGACCACTAAATACAACTTATGGTATAATGTACCTTATGTAAAATTTCAAGCATCTCTCTTAAATCATACAATTTTAATAACAGATACCATATCAAATAAATATACATAAAAAAACACGAAAATATCAAATAGCCTAAAAATGTTTTAAAAATTATACCATGTCTATAAGAGACCAATTTAAGTATTTTGTGAAAACTATAGGGTACAAGTCTCTACAATAATATTTAACTGAATAACAACAAAAAAACCCAAATGTCGTATACTTTGCTGGGTTTTTATCCGTTTTTTTTTTTTTTTTTTTGTAATTTACAAGACATTTTCTTTCAGAAATATGCTATTCTTAAATTTAGACAAAGATTTCTTGTAGAAAAATATAATCTTAAAAATTTCAGATAATGAGCCGTAATTAGAATAATATCATATTTTTCGTTGTTTTTGGTTTTCCCGATTATTATGAAAACTACTTTTAATATTAAAAAATAACTTTCTCTGTCAGTGACTGTACTATGTTATAAAAAGGGGACAAAATCGATCTCTGGTGATTTTTCGATTAAAGAAACATTTCCGGTACAAAAATTAAGAACAATATGAAATCGATTACGCCGACGTGCCGTAAATATTAAATAATTCCCGTTTTACCTATAATTTTCTTTCCTGTTTTTCTCAATCATATATGCGCCAAAAGTACACTATAAGTATAAACTATACGCATGGTATAGCATATAATATAAACGTTTTTTTTTTCAGTAAAGAAATTAATAAGACGATTAAAATAATGATTCAGATTTTAGCTCATCTAGACTATAACTTAATAGTAATTTGAATACGCCTCGCATTTTCAAAACGTTTGAGCCCAAAGGACACTGAAAAGGCCCAGTATAATAGACGCATAAGCCATCGCAGTTTATGCAGTTTATTATAGCGAATACTGAGTGATCAATCTACCGTAAGACACTTGTTATCTCGGAAAGCATTATCGTTTTCCGGAATTTATTTTCTAGAATACTTAAGAAACAAGCTGCTCAACAATTTTATATTTATGTTATTTTTCGTCACCATTATTTTTAGGGATAAAACCAATACCTACTTTTGATTTTCAAATAGCGAACTATATTAGAAATTCCATAAATAGACGGAGTGTTATTTAAAACAAATTTTGGTGTTGACATTTTTGATTTTCGTCTACCCATTAACGAGATACACCATTCTAAAGTTTAGGTGAAGGATGAGTAGCGGAGTATCATTTGTGACGGTACGACGCGTGGCGTGTTAATAATGCACCACCACTCTCCCTCAACCTAAACTTAAAAGTGGAATATCTCGTCAACGGATTGACGAAAATCAAAAATTTCAACACCAAAATTTATTTTAACTAATACATCGTATATTTTTGAAATTTGTGATAAAGGCTGCGAATCGAAAATCAAAAGTAGGTAGTGGTTTTAAAATTAAAAATAATGGTGACGAAAAATAACATAAATGTAAAATTGTAGTGTTGTATAAATGCTTGTTTCTTAAATGTCCTAGAAAATAAATTCCGGAAAAATGTAATACTTTCCGAGATAACGAGCATCTTACGATAGATTGATCAAACTGTACAGTTTATTTATATAAATATTAAAATAAGCCATACAATCTTGTATTTTTAAATTAAGAAACTTTCCACAATCCCATGATGGACGAGAATGATAAGATGCCTTCAGTCATCGTTTATTATAGTATAATATTAAACGATTGCTTACATCCAGTGCGTGATTAATTGAAATATTGGCCAAGTACATAATCCGAGTCCGAGTCCAATATTTTATCTATAAAGATATATTTATATCACCAACTAATGCAGAAAAATAATTCGGGGCTATAAAGTGGTTGGGGGGGGGTATTTCTCCTCGTGTTACACACTGATTTATATAACTTGAGAATATTCTGCAAAAACGTCCCACTGTGTACCTTATTACTGCTATTCATATGTTTTGTTTTGTATTACTTAGTTATACATATATATACTTCAGAGAAATATTAATTCTTTAATAAAAAAAAAATGGAAGCATGGAAAATAATGCCTCGGGCTCCTACATGTGGGACCCTTATATTTTGAGGGCCACGTGCACGTGCGTCGTGCACCGTCATCTGCACTTGCGTTAATCTGGACTTAATTTCATCTGTAATATGATATTACGCATTGTGTGTAATTTACAGAACACACGACCCACGCTTTTTTTTTCTTACATCCAATATTATTGTTCCAATCATACATACAATAAACTAGATTACAAACTGTCATATTGTACTTTAATTTTTGTTGAAGCCGCACGGCAGCCATTTAATTCGAGGTCAATGACCTTATCGCATACTTTTGTATTGTGATAACTGTTAAATTTGTCTCTATACCATTGTTACCGTGATTATGAACAACATCCGTGTACTTATACTTCTAGACGGAACAGTTCGTCCCGAGAACTGGGAGGCGCGGTCGGTCCGAACGGACCAAGAGAGACAGACTGTTAAAAACCACTCGCACCCGGGTTTATGCAGACCAAATTTGCACTCCGAGGACAGCCAATTAATACACCCCGTTTATTACGTCACGTGTCTCTGTCCTCGAAATGAAACTCTACCGACTGAAACGCGCGTTTTGTCGCTATAAAACGTTTCGTCTAGATATATGTAAAGTGTGGCAATATTACACGGATGCAACAATATCAAAATTGACGATTAGGCCCACGAGCCTCGAACTAAATGACGGTTTGAATCCTTACTTTGTGCGCTATAATATAGTGTTGGCCGACGATCTATAAAAAGAGTTTACCGTATAGTTTCCAATTTATTGTACGCGCATCTGTTCTGTGGCACTAGTAAAAGCTTCGTTTTAATTGCCGACAATTAACATTATCGTCAGACGATATTAACGTGGACGTTACTAAACGCACACCGTTTCGCGATTGTGGCGACCGTATATTATGCAATTAATAATATTAAAAATACTATTTTTATACCGAGTACCTAATGATAATAATAATGTGGCGTTCTTCGTATATTAAACTATTAAAGACCAATGTTTTACCGAAAATAAACAAAAACTAATAATATTGTAAATAGATATAATTACGACGGGCTTACCCATAACGGCCCGTTCTCATAATCAAACGTTTCTAATTTTGTATTTATCATAAACGTCTGTCGTTCACGTGTTCAAAGAAAACAACAAGGTTTTGGCGGTGTCGGCCTCTCGTTCGCAGGCATCTTTATTGCTCAGAACGTGTTCGGAACGTTTCGGGTTTAATATTTATTGAACATTTTGCAAATTCGAATTTTATTTTGGTTCGATGACAGTATTCGCGACGACTGTTTTTTGCGTCCTTCAACTTCGCGACTATGACCAATTAATATTAATTTATTCGTCAATGATGATTGTACATCGAAAGCCGTATAGGTAATATAATTGATTATAAATGCTAGTGTTCATAATCAATGGTAACATTTACTGCCGATGCAACCCTACGTATAATCGTAATTATTATTCATTAGTGTAGCGGCCGTGCCCGTATGCAGCGCATGCACCGAGAGCCGCATTAATGATCATACGAAATTATTGCGGAATTTCGAAAAAGAGAAGAGAAAATCAATATTAAAGATAAAATATGTAAAATATACAAACGTAAAAATTGACAAACGTATAAACCGCTATCGTTGTACCTCTGATTTTATTTTCGCATTTAATAAATCACAAATAGCGCAGTAATGAATGAAAACTGATTGCAGCCGTAGTCGTGTACGGCACCTCATCAAGTATTAAACATTTTTAACGAGTTTACTGTACACAATCATTTCATTTGTATCGTTTTTTTTTTTTTTTTTTTGCCGAAATGATAAAGTTGTCGGTAATAAAATATAGCGTAAGGGCACTTTGCACCGTCGGGCTACAGCCCCGGTAAATCCGGTCATGGTTTGATAGGCGAAAGTTACTCCTAAACATTCTTACTCCCGGGAGTGACTTATTCCGGAGACAATGATTTTTCATGGGCAATTCTTAATTCCGTATATTCTTACTGTACCAGTCAAGGAGCCACATTTGATGGAAATTCTTACTCCCTCGTAATTTGCATTAGTTCTCTCCCAAAAATATACTGTCATTATTATTTAATTAGGTACTTATTACGCCTGTACGAACACGAAACCCGATTGTCGTATATCTTTACGCCCGCGGTAAAATATTCGTATTAGAAGGGTAATTAAATAATAATGACAGTTAGGTATCAATATAGTATAATATTTTTGAGAGAGAACTAATACAAATTGCTGGGGAGTGAGAATTACCGATTAGACCGGGATCATCTTATTCCCGGGAGTAAATTTCGCCCGCCAGTAACTCGACAACGAGCGGCGTCGCGGTACACTCGACTTCCGCTACAGTGACGGACGCGCAGCAAGCCCGGAACGCGTCGGAGCCGCCCGAACACTGACGGCGCGGCGTCTTGGCGTACGCGTGGTGCTTTTTTTTTATTTCTTTTGGTGGCCGCGGCAACGTACGTAGTACGCGGACGCCGACGCCGCCGGGCGACGGTCGCCGGACGCCGACGCCGGGCGGCCACGCGATCGCTGTCTGTATCGAGCAGCGGGCGCGGTCGGGCGACCGGCGCGATCGATGCGACCGGCGAATGGTACGGCCGGACCACGCCTACGCGGGGCGGCGTCCGGCACGCCCGCCGGCCAGACGATCGCGTCCCGTCGGCGAGGCTCGGCACGCGTCGTCCGCCGTGCCGCCGACGTTCATCCGCCGCGCCGCGTCCGTCCGCGCACCGCACCGCGGGCAGTCCGTCACAGCCGTTCGCGTCTCTTGTTTGTATGTCGTCCGTCCGTTCGCGTACCCGACGGCAGCAGTCGTCCGCGTTCTTTGTCCGATGCGAATATCATTTTTGTCGATAATATAATAATAATTATCGTTGTCGCTGTCGTAGGTTCGCAACCGATTCTCGCGCCGCCGAAATTCTCCCCGGTTAAGAGGACCGCGGTTCGTACTCGTTCCGATACGATAATTCGAGCGATGATCGTCGCGGACCGTACCGACGACGACGACACGATTCGGCGTGTCCGAAAAACGTAAACGCCGGAAACACCTGGAAAACCGAAAAAAAAATTTAAAAAAAAACAGAAAAATCATTGACGTTCGTCGTTGAGCCTGCGCTCGTTCGTCCGCGGCTTCCTCAAAAATTAATAAAAAAAACAATTTAAAAAATATATAGTAACAGTAAAAAGGGGAATACGACGCAAACAAACCATCGTACACCACGGCACGGCGGGCGGCGTGTGCTGCACACCGGACATGGCATTTTTCTTTTGCGGTATTGTTGAACATTTACTACGCTTATATTAATTACTCTGCCGGGCCAAAACCGTAATATTATAATCCGGTCGGCGGTACGCGCGGGTAATAACAACGGTTACGACTAATATCCATGCGAATGTTTCCGCGTGTAACTGGTCCGGCGACTCGCTAATTATTCGTCGCCGTCGCCGCGACACGACCGCGGCCGCGCGTAATAGCCGACCGGCCGACCGTTGCCGTGCTCGCGCGTATTGCGTAAACGACACACCGCTTTGCGAACCGGTGTCTTGCGAAAATACGACGCGCAGAAAACAAACGCAAACGCGAAAAATAATGTAAAACCCGAGCGATAAAACCGTCGGCGGAAAACGACGAGCGCGAAATCCCGCGGGTCTCCGCGTACCTACGGCCGCCTCGGAATGCGAGCGGTCGGTCCGGCCGAAAAGTCGTGGTCTGGCGGGGGGGAGGTGTTGGGCGGCCCGGCAAAATGTATGCGCCGCCGTCGGGGTCGGGGAGGAGAAAAACGGTTTCCCCCTCGGAAAATCTGCCCCTCGCGCTGATAATTTATCTCCTCTTCGGGGCCCGCACGCGGAAACGCGCAGGTAATAATATTATGTAAATAACGCCGTCGAAAACGCCACGCACGCGTTTCGGTTTTTTCTTGCGTTCCGCGATAACGTGCGGTCACTATTGGTGAACGGCCGCGGCGTTCGGTCGGCCGACGACGAGTCTTTTCGCCGCGATATTTCGGTAAAACGAAACATTTTTAATGTAAAAATAACGTGGGTACAAAATATTATTGCGCGACGTATTTATTATTGTCTCTCTCTCTCTCTCTCTCTTTCACCGTCTCTCCGACAGCTGGCGGGTTACCCGGGTGGGTATTTTTTACCGTCGTCGTCATTATAATAATACCCAATAATAATACTAATAATAATAATAATAATAATATTATTTCGTTATCGCGTTCGGTTTTTTACTCGCTCGCCTTATCGGTGCTTCCTCCCTTCCCCCCCCCGTCGCCGTCACCGCCGTTATCAGCGAGACGAGCCTCGGCTCACGAAACATTTGGCGTTTTTATTATTGTTTTTTTGTACCGCGCCGCGCCGCGCCTCCCCGGAGGAGAGTTTTAAACCCAAACACCGGTCGACTGTTGAGCCCGTCGTCGTCCGCGCGGAGCCGCAGTGCTGCGCGGCAGTTATCGCGCGCGCCGCACCACACACACGGCCGTCGCCGCGGCTCTCCGCGCGTCGTCCCCTCCCGCCCGTCCGACGGACCGACCGACTCTTCCTCGCCCCTCGCCCACCTCGCCCCTCTGTCGCACGACACTTGTACCGCGCGCGCCGTTACCGTCCGGCCGCCACCGCCGCCGTTCCTCCGGCGGCACGTTCGCACGCACTCGCACGCTTCGTCACTCACGCGCACGCACACACCAGCCCCACGGAATAATAATAATAACTCGTACGACACACACATACACGGTGTCGTATTTTCTTCATAGTTTTCTAATATTATTATTTTGCTTGGGATTTTTTTTTTTTTCTAGAAATTTTTTCGCCACGAAATTCGACTCCCAGCTGTATTACGTTTAATGTATAATAATAATAATAATAACAATAATAATAATAATAATAATTATTATTATCAACAACAACATAACCGTACAGCACTTCCTATACGGCGCTGCAGCTGCGCGTATATAATACCAATAATATACCTACCGATAATACGTACGCATTTTCGAGCGTTTTGCGCGTTTTCCTTTGAATAACCCCGGAACGGAAAATGTAAAACCGACCGTTTCTCCGTCATGAGATCAGAATAATAATGTTGTTCACGGGTACGCGCGTTTCCCGTTTTCCGCGTTGCGTGCAAACTCCGTGCCGTCAGTTTTAATGTACGCGCGGCCGAATTATTGTGACCCGTCGCTAAAACTTATTGGCGAGAACTCGTCGGCCGTACGTTTGATGAACGGCCGTCGGGTTTTTTTTTTTTCTCTCGACAATTTAATTTCTTTTTAGCGACGCGCAAGCGTGTTTCCGAACGCGGCGGACCGCCGCGGGTATCTCACTCGTATGCTGGAACAGCGAACTGGGAAAATAACCAACGCACAAACGCCGATAGCATTCGCCCCTTCGTGTTCGACATATAAGGTCAATCCGCCGTAATTGATTAAAACCAACAAACGGAAAAATCGATTCGGTTTAACGCGAATCTGCCGCGTCTTCGTGCCCGCCACGTTCGCGTAAGACGGAAACGACAAAATGCCGCGCGCGTCCTCGGGAACCGTTCGGCACGATCGAATAACAATATTAAACAATAATGATAATAACAAACAATATTGCATTATTATTGTAAGGTTTCCGAGCGGTTTTTTTTTTTATCGTCGCCGTTGTTTATGCGACGCCCGCGAGAAGTTTTCGCTCGTCGTTTTCGTCTTGTAAGCACAAAAACCGACGGTGAATGTCGACATTGAGGTTTCCAGATAAATGCCCGATAACATTGTAAAAAACGATGATGATGATGACGTAATCATATACGTCGCGAATCCGCGCGTTCGAAAATTTTAGCCAAACACCTCGTGTGTGCGTGCGTGTGTGCGATTATGACGAAATGAGAAGCTGTAGAAAGAAAAATACGAAAATACTGTAACTATTCGTGCCCCCGAAGAAATACCGACACAAATCAACATAATATGCAAATGTCGGGAATTAGATTTTTACGGTTCCATAATGTCCATAATGATTTTTCCCGCGTAAAACTTTTACTTTTGAGACACGACTTCATTCTGGCTAAACAGATATCGTGTAATCAGTCGGCTAACAAATAGAGTCACGTCTCACAAAAAAGCCAATATTCAGGCTGAAAATTCGTTTTGAACAGACATAGGGACGTTCGAGTCCACACTGTCTTGAATATTAAATAAACGAAAAATGTCGAGTTCGCCAAGTTATAAAGGACGAGCTACTGCGTAATTTGATAGCATCTTATCGTAACACCATCATTAATGATGGTGAAATGGCGCCGGCATTCCTTCCGGAGTGCGATATACCCGCGCGTTTTGGTCGAAACAAAAACAAACAAACACACAAATTGTTGCCGTTTTTCCGTTGGCAAGATTGTCGGCCCCGCGGACGAAACCCCGTCCGTTTTTTCCTGTCGGTTTTTACCGAAAATCAATCGGTAACTTGTCGGTTTTTCGCCGCGACCACACGGTTTACGGACACCGGGAATCGAACGGCGTGTACGGACGTATCGGTTTGTACGGGCAGTGTCCAAACCCGGCAATTGCGAACGGAGATGAAACGGTCCGACGAACGGAAAAAAAAAACACCGTGAAAAACGTCGGATTCGCGTTTTATTATCGGCGGCCGTCGTCGCGACTGGCGCTGGGCGGTGTGCATCGTCGCGACCCGACGCTTTCATATCGCATTGGCCGTACGGATACGATTTGCCCGGCGTTCATTCGGGCCCGGATAAAACGGCCGTTCGCCCCGTACGCACGTGTCCCCTCCACGTACGCGCCGCACGGGCGCGCGTAACGCGGTGAACGCGCGCGCAGGGGACGCGGTTTCCTCGCGGTAACGCACCAAGGTACGCGTGCGGAAAACGTTTGGAATTAACGTCGCGAACGTGTTCCGAACGGGACGAACCGACCCGCAATGTACGCGCGACGAGTAGACGCGTAGATGATCGGCGTGCCGTACCGTGTCGTCGATTGTTTTTTTTTTTTGGCCTTTCTCTCTTTCGTTTATTGTTTTGCGTAAACGAATTGGTCGGGTCGCCTTTACATCGCGAACGGACGGCAATCGTTCGCGTGGGTCGCTTTTTACACCGGGCCGCGCGAAAACGCACAGCACTCGGTCGCGTAAACGGCGCGTTGCGGCGCCCGAGCAGTTTGTCGCAAAATCCGCTCGTTCGACCGTACGCCGTGCGCGCATAACGTCAACGCCCACGCGGCCAGTACAGGCGAAACGAAAAAAAAAAAAAAAATGATAAAAATCGCGCGCGCTCGCTCGCTCACAACGGATTGTCGTTTGTGCATTTTTTTTCTTTTTTTTTCTACCGCGAGACTACACGCCGGGTATATTATTGTTATCGTCGTTGTTATTTTCATTGCGCGCGGGCCGAACGCCTACCGACCATTGCGTTTATTGCGATTAAAAATGTATTTTGTCGTTTTTCGATTTTGTCGCCATTGCACGGCGTTACCCCGTGAGCACTGTACAGATCGCCGTGTTTGCAGTGTAAAACGTTGCACCGGGCTACGGGAATTTCGTCGTTTTAATGTGCACGTGCACGCAATTCGGTATAATGTATACGTATGGGTAATAACAGTATAATAATTTATCAACGTTAATCGTTACGACAATACGTATAATATTGATAACCTAAACACACGGATGGGACGGAACGGCTTATCGGCGAAGGCTGCAGTAGCGACCCGTGTAATAGTAACGGTGTTTATGTTGTACTCCTGCACATTACGGCCTCGCGTAGAACGGACTCAATTCTCGCCTCGCTTTTCAGTTTTAGACCGCGAAAATAAAAATCGGCCCCGGTTCGGCGGTGTCTCGTCCCCGTGGTATTACTACTGCTGTCAGTACGGCGCTGCACTAGTACACACCGGTGGAACCCACAGTGAATCGGAACAAAATCGATTCGGACGAACGATGTTACCGTAAGTTCTGATAACAATGCGATAAGCAATGTGATAACATTGTTATCAAATGACCGCTCAAGTCGTCCGTGATAATTAACAAATATTATTTTATACTGTGTAGTACACGAATTAAGGTGTATTGGATACGCAACGAGAACCTGTTATCGACAAAACTATTGTTGCCGAAAGTTCTTCTTCGTCGCATATTTGATTACCGATTTTATGTTATAATACCTGTATACATTTTACGATATCCATCCAGTGTACAACATATAACAATAGTGACAATTAAGAATTTGCATTAGACGTGACCAACACATAAAAAAAAATCCAAAGAAAAGTACATTTTAAATCGAACAGAAACGAAATCGATTCAATGATAAAACCGTCCATGCAGAATCGATAAAGCAATTCAAATCGCCCATCACTATTATAGTACATGGTACCTATATTTATGTTTATTATTTTATCAGACACCGATTTACTTGTCAAAAACATCATCGATAGCGTTTTCCGTCCTACTACATATCGTTAAAATCGACGGTATCGGCTTTTTACACTCGCGTAGATAATATCGCACTACACCGTCACGAGGAATTGGCATTATCTGCTGCACTGGTGATGGCAGGTGGCGAAAAGTTTACACGAGTGCAGTCAGATGGAAAAGGCTTTAAAGGAATTCGAAACGGAACGGGGGTGCCTTAATCTTTCATTGTCTAAAACATACACGCAACATAGAAATAACAGTAGGCCAATTTTCTAAAAACTGACTTCAGCTTGAAGTGTACGCGTGATTGACCCGGTCATTTTTTCGGATTTATTCCTTAATTTGATTTAATAATAAAAAATTGATTTGAAAATGTATAAAAACAAAAAACATCTTGATTAAACAATGTGGCCTCCTGGCCTCTTGATTCGTTAAAAATAAGTATACGATATTTTTTTAAAAAAAAGCTATAGAATTATTTAGTTTCACATCACTTATTTTTTAACAAAATTGTTAACTCGATTTTCAACCCAATCGAATCTATTTAAAAACATTTACGATCAAGGATTCTGATTATCGTTTAAAACAAAACTTATTATTTTGTCGAATATTATTTTTATAGTGCAAACAATTATATATACCGAATACCTATAATAACATCACTTATTTTAATCATATACCAATGTTTGGTATTTTAGATGTAGATATCTAAAGCGAATAGACAATTAAAAATATTAATTTGTATTGAAATAATATTATTATCCTTGAACTTTTGTGTTATCAAAAGTCTTGAAATCAAATAGTATTTACGCTGTGTCTAGACACACGGACGGTCGTGTTTCTAATGGAGACACTAACGTAGATTAAAAAACGCGTGTTACTCGTATTAAGATAAAAAAAAAAAAAAAAACGCAAAAAATGCCCATGAAGGTCGGAGCAATGTCGATCCTAGCCCGATAATAATCCTTGGAAGTTAGCGTCTTAAGTGTAAATCTAAAACCTATTACTGTTTAGTCGTCGAAAAGCCGATACTACTATGTCACCACGGGCGCAAGAAAAAAACTATTAACTAAAAAATTGATTTGTATTGAGGGTCGAACCCGAACAACCTCGATTGGGAAACACCGCGTTTGTGCGTTATTGGATAAAATTAGATTGCATGTCGACTTTTATGATAAGGTACCCTTATCTTAAGGTACACCTTATACGGTCGTACGTGATTGCATTGTAAACACGACAGCCCGCGGGCGCATATCTATACACGGACGTCCGTGTAACGCAACGCAATATTTATGTAACCGTATAATCGTCGTTATCGTTTCAATACGATTTTAATCCATATATTTTTTTTTCTATATATATATATATATGTATATTTATCAATATTCGTTCCATTTCAAAGAATATAATTAGTTCAAAAAAAATATCAATTTACGTATAACATTTATTATGTGTTATATAACGTACCTACGTTATTTAGGTACGCGATGTAGTATAGCAATGAATATTTTAAGGTTATTGTGTTCTATATTATAATAGTGTAGGTACGTATTAGACATTCGGTTCGTGTTTTACAACAATAATGATACAGGCATGTGTGCATTATAATATAGTTTACTAATAAATTAGTTGTGCGTCGAAATATTAATGGAAGTCTAGGAGCACTTAATATTATTTTACGGAACACTCTACTTGTATGCGACGTATATTACGTATACCTATAGGTTTCGTCGGTGAATTAACGGCGCGACTGTTAAAAGCGTTCAAATCTACCGTCGCCGAGTTTTTAAAAGAAGGGTAGACCGACCCGCGATCTTTGAAGGGCGAAACGCACTAAAACTCCGCCGCCGCGGCCGTCTTCCACTCTCTCGTTCGGCGGTTATAATTTAATATGTACGTACACGGGTATTTATTGTATACGAAGGTATAATATGTAGTCGAGAGGGAGCGAAATGTTTGTTATACGACCCCGTGCCTATATATTATATTATATATATATTATTACTTGGGAGGCACCTATTATACGGCGACATTTTCTTGAGTATACTAGGGTATACATATATATATATATGTATAACCGTTTCAGTTAAAACGGTTAATACCCTGCAGTGTACAGGACGTATCGTATACACGGGGGCGCCCGTGAGGTGATTTCCAGGGGAGGGACAAACCGAATTCGGGTTTCCGAACACGCGTTATTTAAAGACTAGCGTTGTATTATATACACTGCAGAACGCTAGACCTGTAAACAAATGTTGGTTACGAGCTGTATAAACCGTTACGAGACGACGAGTCAACAGAATCATCCGTGCGGTCCGTGCGTCAATAAACGTCCTAAACGATGTTTTGTAGGTTTTCGTGTTTTCCGAAAGGGGAGGAACGTGTCCCCCAATAACGTGTGCCCGCGGTATCGTATAACACGTTATGTTATTCGGACTCGGAGATTAAAATACAAACAGTTTTTCTTTACTCTTAATGTATTTATTATTTTTTTTTTTTAAATATTTTCCGTAGCGCCCGGTAGTACGGCCGAACAACTGATTGCCCAGAGTGCGTTCAAAATACGGACGTCCGGACAACAAATCGGCACCACTATGATTCAAAACGGCGGCGGAGGCGGGAGCGTTCATCCCGACCCTAATCGTAAGTGTGCATCATACACGAATATTCATATTATTAAGTACCCGTTATATTATTTTATATTAGGTGTATACCTATATGCGTATTTGAGTATTTAAGAGAACCGAACTCCGGTTCGGTTCGGTTATAGGAGAGGGAGTGAGGTAGTCATTATTTGCTAGCTGGAAGTAAGAAACTAAAAATTGCTTTAAGTCGGCTGTTTAGAAAATAAATCTCGAATGAATCGCTACGTATTATTGAAATTTGCCGAAATTTAAATTATTTGCTGTCGTTAGGCACCTGTTTAGTATATGTCATCATGATGTTTGTTGGGTTTGTATATTATTACCACAGATTATATGGTAATGTGTGTTATATATCAGGGTTGTATAGTCAGAAGGAAATAAAACAAATACAGGAGGTTCCCCGCAACACTGATCTCGAATATTATTCTTTGTATCAAGTATAATATATTATGATTTGATAATGTGTTATTAGAATGCGATTTATTATTATAACCGTTATTTTTTTTTTTTTGTGGATTTTTATAAAAAAAAAAAAAAAAATTCGAATTAATTAAATTTTATTCAGAGATACAAAAAAAATAATAGTTTAATAACTTTTATTTTTCAAGTTTTTTGAAACGTATTTTACTTGGTCATTCTTACTATTAAACTCAGTCGTTTAGTTAGTTTTTTTAAAAAAAAATTATTTTACTAAACCACTTACAGCTCTGGATTTGGTATATACAGTCGAATTTCATATCCCATCCGATAAACAATATTATATTTTCGCAGCGCACACTATTGAAGTAATAGGACAAACAATAATATTAATAGTAATAATTATCGTCACTTTCCGTCCGTATTTCCTGGCACGTACATATAATGCGGGCTCAAAAGCGTCATATTATACCAGAGCGCTGTGGTGCTGTACAGGGTGTGGTCCATTTACAATAATAATATATAAGCTCGCCCGCGTGAGTCATATGACGTATTATACGTACAAAAACACACGGCGCTCGCATAATAAACGCCATTAACTCGTTCACCCTCCTATATACACATACAGGGTGTTTCTTTAACCGTGCACCGGAGATTTCGAGCGAATTCGATCTGGTTCTTTTCGGGCACTATATAATGTGGAAAATTAGAACCGTCGTTTAAGAGAGCATATTATATAGAGCCATAATATTATAACGAAATGGAATGCGCGTACGCACGCAGAATACGAACATCGACATATATCGTGTAGAGGCAGTGAGAGGATATAGCTATAGTCATCCTGCAGGAATAAAAGATATAAAATAACTGTTTATTCCGTAGTTTTATAGGGTAGCGATAAATCCCTCGACCGGTTTATCATTGTAATGTTTAGTCTGTCTTGCTCGAAATACACACGCAAAGGATAGAAAAGGTGCAGTTCGTCTGTTTATAATATGTTTATGTTTAATAGGCCGTCACATTTGCCGTTTCTGCCTTTCTAACGAGCAATATAGACAAGAATGCGTTTGAAATCGGTTTTAAACATGGAACACCTGTAATCAAATTTACCGACGGCAACATTTTGAAATCCACTTTATTTTTCAAAATATCAAGTTACAGTTATTTTAAAAAAATAAATGAAAAATGTAAAATACGCTTCTTTGTACCCTCGATAATTAGTTTGGTATTTATAGCATTGTATAACACCGACAAAATTCTCTTCGTTAAAATGTTGTCAGCTAGATATTTTATATAATAAGTGTTCTATTTCTACTACTGATTTTAAATACCTTTTCTTATGTTTATCTCCATATTTTGCGTCGTTAAAAAGACAGAGACGAAAAATTCAACTATGACGATTTTATTTACAATATTTTCATAATTTGATACGTTTATTCTGTAGTATCGATCACTCGCGCACATTATATCAGCTTTTACATTTTTTTTTTTTTTTAAACTCGGATTCGAAAAAAGAACATTTTTTTTTGGACAATTTTGTTGTGCGCATTATATTAATATGGTACTTTTTAATGAATTATTATAGTTTAAAATGTAGACCGGAATAAGAAAAAACGATGGGTATCCAAATATGGATGTGAAATGTTTACCCTTTACTCGGTTACTCCTCCCGCTTTAGTTATAAACCTTTACGACTCATAACGGTATACATTTAATAGGTATTATATAAATATATTATATACCAACATTTTTAAAATTATTTTCTCATACCTATATCGAATCTGAGGCTGAAAATGTGGGCCGGTAATTGTAAATCACAGTATTGTTCCTTTTAAAAAGGAACCGTTCCTCATTTCTGTAAGCGTTCCTTTTTTTTTCTATGGATACCTAACGCACATTAAAAAATTGTTTTTATATATTTAATTTGAAAATAATAATATCACTAATGATTTTGCTTTGAAAGTATTCAAATATATACAATTAATTTTACATGGAGAGTTTTTATTTGTCACTTGTGTAAAAACTTAGTTTTCATAAAAAAATAAGTGTACTGTGAGTTGATCAAGTCAATTAAAATTGGAAATTATTCCTACTTCTTAGAATTTACATGTTTAAAATCCTAATTAAATCAAATTAAATTAATTTTTTTGTTAAAAACAAAAAAGATACAATAGTTTCGTTCCTATTTCTATAAATAAGGAATTAAATCACGTTCCTATTCCTTCAAAAAATAATTAAATTAATTCCTTCATTTGTTCCTCTAAAAAGGATTCAGTCCCAGGAATCTGGAAAATCGATAGTGCCTTTCCTTTATATAGATAACAACATGCGTTTATGACTATAGTGTACGAAATATGGGACGGTAAAACGTTCGAAATATTTAAAATACGTTTATTAATTTACCAAAAATCGTCGTACTACGATCGTCGCTCTGATTCGTAATAAAATAAACACTCTGTATAGTCCGGCTGCAACGAGTGTTGGCACTCGTGCGTGCGTGTGACCGCGGTCTCGGCAGAAATATTTGATTTAACCCCCCTCCCCCAGTCCCTATATAACTATACGCGTATATTATTATTGTTATTATAATAATACGTACTTATATGATATGCGACATTTATAATAATAATATATTTCTCTGGCCAGGACAGGTGGAGTGGCCATTAGTTTTGCGTTAAATTTCATTTATATATAAATATATATAGACACTAACATAATAATTTCTCGGCTCGTATACAGTCCGCCACGAAACCCTCGTCTTTCCGCTCAAAAATTCGTCGTTATCGTTCGTTTCGTTTTTTTTTTTCTGGTGGTTTCTTTCTTTTTTTTATCATCGCCTTGCGATTGCAAAGTAAATATTTACGTATTGTTTGTATATTTATACACGAGAGTGGCATCGTACGTGTTTATATTTAGCGTAATATTTTCTTTACGATTCTCAAACGAACCCTGTATAAGTGGACGTCACACTCGCTGCACCTGCGGCTAAGTCTGACTAACGGGCAACATTGCAAAATTACGTAAATCGTTTCGTTTAAGTTGAAACTAGAGTTTGAACACAAATAACTAAACTCAAACGGGGGCGGAAGGGGATGTTTTCAAGGGCTGGACGTAGTTTTTTTTTTTTTAAAAAAAAAAAATTGTTATGCAGCAAAGTTATAGCCATGTTTTTGTTTAGTAACGGATGTTGCTTTTTTGTTAGACAGTTTTTTAAGAAAAGGCTACGTGCAGCCCTCAAAAATATCGCTCTCTTTACATTTTGTTATTTTTGTTGAAGCTCTAAATTCAACCTAAACGTCACAATTTATGTACCAAATAACGTTGTTTTTCTATATTGTCCGTTAGTTAGATTGAGATAGTGAATGCGCGGGTATGGCAGATTTCTTGAGAGGACGTGCCATATTCTAGTATTTAAAGGGTTTTGCATAGACGAAAAAAAACATTTGATCAACTTGAAAATATTCAAATTCACTAAAAAATGTCCCGTGCCCCATTACGACAAGTATTTATTGTGTAATTGTGAAAATAACACAAATGTTTTACGGAGGATATGGACTTAATTAAGAAACTAAATTTTCACCAAAAAAAAAACTTCACGGTGCAACGTTAGTTTTAATTTTTGATATCATTACTATATCTGAAAATAATTATTCAAATATTGAAAACATCATATTATTTCGCTTGATTTTAAAACAATAATAACTTTTTTATTATTTGTTGAACTGAAAATTTAAAACCAATGCTCCATAGTGCTAGTTCTTATTTTCTTTTTTTTTGTGGTGGACATTTCGTTTCTTAATTAGGTCTATTATAGCCCGAGTAGTTTTTGCTCGCGTAAAACCGTTTTTACAGTCCAATTGCGGCTGGTTGCACGCCCTCCCGTAAATATCGTACACAGTATGTGTCAAAAGGGCTGCAAATGGCACGCGGAGATGCCGGACGGGAAGACCTACACGACCCGACGATGGTGAGGAGAGGTATGAGGCGAATTCGTATGCACGAGTATACATGAAAACATATAACGGGAACAATTATTATTATTAAAATTACGATCCACTGCACGAATCATATACATTTCCCCAGCCCCACCCTTTTTAAGCAACCTTTTGGCTGCTAAATGATGGCGTAAAAAAAATTTGAAAAAATTTAAATTGTGGTGCTAGAAAAATGCACGTGTACGAATCGACAAAAAAAACTAGAAAAATTGCAAATGCCTATCATTATTTCACGGTTATAATTATATTAGGTCTTATCACTATTACTTTTTGGATTTTCATTTCTGTCTGCGAACAAGTTTTCGACCAGTCGGGTAATTTTTTTAATGAAGTGGTCTGTGTTCAACATCGGGGTGTCATTCTAACGCTCAGTAGAGTAGGATTTTGCTTACACCGTGGTACATTAGAAAATGAACTATTACAATATAATTAAGATAGATTTTGTGACGAAATATTGTATTCTACATAAGAAACACTGGCGGAAAGACCAAAAGTTAAGGGAAAGATATTTCGTCTATTTATCTGCCCGCGGAGTTATTTTTACATTCGATGGATTTTCATTAAAGCAATACCCCGTGACCCGTAGAAGACTTGCCCGATCGGAGACTTTATAGAGGAGCTTTCGTGTTGCATTTACATGTTATTATAGTCGGGGTACGTCGGGGAGGTCTTTCGGTCGACCCGCCCGGTATACACCGCGAATGACGGTCACCGAACGTTTTCGACGACAGAACTCTACTGTGTTATGCGTGTTATCATCATATTGTTCTCGACTAAATAAAAACGAATACGTTTTTACTTATTTACAAAAAAAAATACAATGATACCAAAACGAACTACACGTACACATAGTAAAAATATAACAATGCTTATATTGGTCATAAATTCATAATATCGAATAAGGTAAATTTTCAATAGAGGTATGTTATTACTCGTTTCACATATGAAACAACACGCCGTTCCTTAAACGATTTTGTATAATTGTATGTTATCGTACCCCATTGAAGGGGTGTGTATAGTACGCTGTTATACTATATACACCGTGGTCGTCGTACGTCGCATAGGTATTTATGTATGTATACGTATGTTATACAGATATGTGCGAACCGAAATTGTTTCGCGCGTATAATCTATGCCGTAGGCGCCACAGAATTCCGGCTCGTGAATCGATGTTTATTGTTAACCGATGATATAATAACGTGTGATAAACGGTTTCCACTGTATCCGTTGCTTTCTGTTCTTGTTTTCTTTTGAACGTATAAAGTCAATATCGATAAGCGCGTCGACCGCGCGGCGGTTTAATTAAAATAAAAATTCCGCTAAACCGTACGTATTTTTTAACGTTATAATTTATAATTTTCATACAATTGGTTTTCGGTGTAATATCATGATATGCATTATGCACGGTTCCCCGCACAACCGAACGTCTGTTAAAACGGAAGACTGTCTTTTTACGCATAATGGGTATATACTTCAAAAATAATATTATAGTCTGTATAATATGATAAAAAATCTCGTTTTATGAAAATAATTGGCCTTTTTTTTTTTAAAAAAAAATTTCCTAATAATATATATTGTACACTCCGTGAATACACGCTAAAATAGTTTATAGTAGTATTAGATATAGTTATATACAAAACATCCGTATTCCACATGTAATAATATAATATAATATAAATTACATTTTGCAATCTACTATATATATATATTATATTCCAACCCTCCCACAATAAGGTCCCCGAGGGCATTAGCTACATGAAACGGGAAAAAAAAAACTCGATAGGGAAGGGAATGACGTACGTCGTATTACATCCCATCTGGCTAAACTCTTATTGGTACCGCCTATGGCTTACGCGCTCTGACATTCTTTTGAACACGTTACTCAGCGAACGAGCTGAAAAATTGATATATTATCGTATTATATTAAACATTTAAAACATTTATCATGCGTAAACGCTGAAGAAATGTTTAATATAAATAATGACAAAAATAGTATATAATATACTAGAGACGGGCTCTTCGGAATATAATTTTATACTATCCATAGATTCCCATAGTTTATGTAGATAAACATAATATAATTAATAATTATGTTCGGAAAAATTTTCGAAATAAACTACTGGAATAGTTTTCAATTTACCGAATAGTCGGACATAATACGTTCGGTTGTAATGTATTCTGAAATTTATCGTTATCCGTCTTTAATTAAAACGTAATTCATTGCATTCGAGGTTATTCGTCGTATTATTGTAATTTATTTCGAAAAACGCGCAAAAATTCCAACATTTTTACGGGCAATTTTTTTTGTGTATTTTACGTTTCAAATTTACTTTCGTCCGTGTGAACTTAAATAGGTTTTTTTTATTTATAATAATAATACAGTGTTAGGTACCTACTCGAAAACAATTGCGTCGTCAGTCGAACCGTGCGTTTGGTACGTCGTGGCCCCGTTACTGTGTCGGACCGACCGACGACGACGACGACGACGACGTTGTTGCAGTGATGTATACAAGGCTCTGTTAACATTCCTTTTCCTATAATACTCTAATCTAATTCAAATATGTAAAGGTCGTTCGTAGGAGCTGGCAAACAATCGAATCGCCGTCGTTATCGGGCAAACAAATGACCTAAAGGAAACAGAAAAAAAAAAAACAAAAAGAAGAATACAAAAAAAAATGTATAAACCCTCGTCAAACATATCCGAGATATTATCTAATATATGTATATACGCACAGGTACTCAGCCCTATACTAGCAAACAGGTTTTGGTTCCATAAAACAGAAACGTTTTCGGAGAAATAAGTCGTTTATATATTTTTATTCCACACAAATTGAAACGCGAGTATATAATATTGAAAACGATCCGTCTCGTATACAAAAATAATTGGTATTTTTTTAAGGAAAAATCGTTATTTCCGTGAATTATAATAGCGGCGGCGATGGCGATCATTAATTAATGTAATAATATGTACAAACCTATAGTGTTACAGTATAACATTATCGTAGTATTGTTATTATAGTGGCGCGGGATAATTATATTATTCTGGTGAAAATGTCTTATTTTCGAGTGTAATTTAAATAGCGTACATACCTAATTGTATATATTATAATATATTACAGTTATTACATAAAATTATAATTTTATAAATTACGAAACAAAAAAAATCTCATCAATTCATTTTGTCGTCTCATTACAAACATTAATATCTATACATACACGTATAGTTAAACGTTTACTATAGTGATACTTGTATGGTTTTCGGAAATATCATCTGGAAAACGATATTATCGCTCCTCACTTCGTCCCATCGAAGGAACGTGCTATTCGAACCATTATCATTATCGGTTTTAATAACGTAAACTCTGGAGGGGGGGGGGTATTAGGTTGACGGAGTTGAAACTATACTGGTTATCGTCTGGTTCGTCACCTTTGCGCGGACCTTTGAAAATAAAGCATGACGCGTGGCATTTATTTATACATAGCGCGTAATAAGTAATTTTGTGTTATTTTCACGACATATTTCTATTTATTACGAATATTGTTGGTTACGATTAGTTATATTTGATTTTCAATTACAATATGACTCGTCACGCGTATACGTATGTTTACGTATAGCATTTTAAGAACAATTCATTTTGCAAAGTGTATTCAATAAAAGTACTCTGGCTTAATTAAAAAAAAAAAAAAAAACCAACAACAAAATTATATCAATTATATTTAAATTTTTGACTTTTGTGTAAAACGATCAGGTGGGAGGTCATTACAATATTATTATTGATGCGATTGTTATTATTCATATGTTCGTATGTATTAAATTATTATCGCCCGGATTGAAAATATAATAATGTTGTTTAGGTACTGGAGTATGGTGCATACAGATGTTCGGAAACTAAATGTGTAACATTTATTATACGATAACATGTAACGATTAAAGATAGCAATAAATGATAACAATAATATGCGTAGTGTGATACCGTATACTCGTACACGTAAATTAAAGATAAAAACCAATCGGATTATATTGTCAGCGTAATAATATGTACGATGCGATCCCAATTACAAATTTAGTATTTCTGGGCATATCGCGGTTAATGTATAATAATAACATGATAATATTACTGATTATACAATTATCTGTGTCGGTAATGGAACATATCGCCTGTCGTAACGAAAAAAGTCGTTGTTTAATTTTTCCAACTTGTAATCTAATCTTTTTGGAACCTGTAGACATTTTTTCGTTGAAAACGTTTAAATTTTTGGAGAGCGATGTTTGAAAAAAAATCACGACCTTGAAAATAAAACCTGAATCGAGACGAGATCATTTTGTTTGCGTTACTTTGATAGTTACTATCCCGAGATTGAGTCCATCACCGTGTGAACATAGGCATAGGCATACTATCACGACGAATTTTACTGTTGCTAAATGTAAATAGACTAATATAGACGATATTGTAATTACTATTTCGTCATATGGACGATTTCTCACGACGCTGATAGTTACCGCGTGGAATATGACGATAGAAGACACACATGTACGATAGCAGCTTCCGCGATAATTACTAAACACTTGCGAGGGCCCGGGCTCTTTCAAATTTCAATTTGTGCCGGGCTTATAGATTATAAATATATTACCGGCCGGACCGGGTGAATAACACTGCAGATACGAATAGTGGCCGTCAATAGATTGTACGCATGTTGTAGATTGTAGTGTGTAATTTCCCATTAAACTAAATTATTTTCGTTTTCTAACACAAATTGCTGTCCGACCAAATGCTAAGTAGTGTGCACTTAATTACGGCCACTAATATTCATTACTTCGTACGATTCGTCGTTATAGTTTTATTATTTCAACATGCGGGGTTACCGGTCGATTTTTTTGTTGTTAGTGGTGTGCAGCTATACAGATATACGCGTTCCGTGAAAGGCGAATGAAAACAAATCCATGTTTGAGGAAGAACGTCTCAATATTGAAACTATGGGTATTTAACACGATGCGCTACCTGCTGCGCGGTCACGGCGAACGTTTTTTTCGAGAAATGAAAATCGTTGGTCGGGTATTGAAAAAATTAAAAATTCCGAGCGGGATTTCGATGCGTGTGTATGTTCGGCGGCCGGTTTTTATGCACCGGTCGGGCATAGTTTTGAGAAAAAAAAAAAAAAAAAACATACTATTTAAATCGGACCGGGGTCGGGCTTTGAAAAAAAATACGTGTACACCCGGTCCGGGCCGGCGACCGTCCGACCGCAGTGGTTACTAAATCGCCCGGCGGTTCGAAATCATATCACCGCCCGGAGTCGCGGGGCTGTCGCGACGGCGACGGAACTGTCGCCGTGCGAGCCGCGTGGGGTTCGGGCGCCTTTCGCAGCGGCTACTCTCGTTCGGGCATCGCGTCGTTCCCGCTGGCCATTGAGCGCGCGGCCCGAACCGCGCCGTCTAATTAGCGTCGCGGGCTGGACGGCCAACGGCTACTCACCGCGATGTTACAGCGCGCGGGCGTGTGTGGTGACGGGACGCGCGCGGATGTGTGCGTGCGATGAAGTAACGTTACGATTGGGTGGTGCACGCTGTTGGTCGGGAACGCTAGTGAAAACAATTCGGACGCGCGACGGAACCGTATAGTATAGCGCATAACGGACTTGCCAACGATGCGTACCGGATTGTTATTTCTTTCTAATCGAAAACGATTACGAAAAACATAATTATTAACACCATGATATTATACTCGCGGGGCATTACAGTGTTATTACGCACGCGCGTGTAGATACTTTACGGAAACGACGACGACGACAACGACGACGACGACGACGACGACGACGACGACGATAATAACGATAATAATAATAATAATGATAATAATAATAATAACAATGATAATAATAATAATAATAATAATAATAATAATAATAATAATAATAATAATGATAATAATAATGATAATAATAATAATAATAATATTATATTAGATATTGTGTATTGTATGTGTTATGGTATTATTATTATATACGGAGAGTGAAACAAGTAGCTCGGCCTGTTATTTAGCCAGTTATATTGTGCGCTCTGCGCGCGCCGTGCCCACCCCCGCCGATCTCGTGCTGCGCCTCGGTAATTTACAACAGATATAATATTATATACAGGGTGTCGCATCGCGGAAATCCCGACGACGAACGCAATCGATTTCGATGTCTACGAGTGCTGTTGTTGTTTTTTTTTTTGTTTTGTTTCTTTCCGTAATAATTTTACGAGAGTATTACGCGCGCGTTGTTTCTCATAATTTTGTGTGGCCTACGTTTTTTTTTTTTTTTCGGAACGAACAAATTTCGCACGCGAATAAGCGATGGCGGTTTAGAAAAAAAAAAAAAAAAAAAAAAAAAAAAACGATTTCGAATATATGTTTCGCCGTTACAAAATGTTTACCGTACCTTATTATGACGACGAATCGGTTAATATTGTCCACGATTTTCCGAAGTTTACGACGATTTCAACGTTCGTTTGCGCCGTCAGTGTATAGAGGAAGTACCAAGTATCAAAATATCGATTGACCAATAATAAACTGCTCGTATCGCAATACGATAGTGTTATGTTATTATACACGATCAGTTGTATATTAAATATTATTATTTTAGTAGACCAGCGGCGACACGGGAAAATCGCGCGTCTGTCTACGTTATTACAAACGAATTTTTACGAAAACCAACGGCTCGTCGTCGTTGTATAATATTGAGACGTGTACCATAACAGTCGGACGTTCTGTTCCGAAATAACACGAGCGCGTACAATATCTCACGGGTATCTTGGATTTTTTTTTAAAAATATGCGCGAGAATCGTTGATACGCGCGGCCTTTGCGACTATTCGCGTAATTATTATACGGGCGGCGGGTTTAACCGAAACGGCAAAAAAAAAAAAAAAAACTTTACGAATACCGAACGGAACAAATGCCAAATACTACAATGTCCACCGCGCATTTGTCAGATATTTTCCGTCGTCGGTCACCCTGTATACGTACGTATATACATAATAATATAATATATAAACATTTTATACGTATACATATATATATATATATATTTTTTCATCCCGCGAGTATACTCCTCGTCGTCCGCGGTGGGAGTCGGGGTCTGCTCGTCATCGTGGTCGCCGCCGCCCGGGCGCGTGCATGTGTGTGCGACCGCGTGTGTATATTTTATAATAAAATATCGTGGGCTCACCGCGTGTTCTTGCGCGTGCGCGCGCGCCCGCGTGCGCGCGTGTGTGTGTGTGCGTGTGTGTGTGCGTGCGTGCGATTGCGCGTTTGTATACACACTTTTGACGCGTTCCTATACATTATTATAAGATCTCCCGTTGTTTTAATAACATATGGTTTTTTTTTTTATATTGCGTATTAAAATATTATATCGTATACGGCGCATACGCGCCGCACTATTACCAATTATTATATAAGACCCCGGTATATTATTATAGTGTTTTTTTTTTTTTTTTTTTTTTTTTTTTATTTTTTCTTCTGTTCACGGTCTTTCCGTGCCGTCAATCCCTAATAATATTATGTTACGGGTTGTTTGGCGGACGCGTTTTAGTTTCTGACCGCGGCGACGAAATATACCTACCTACATTATAACCCGCGACAACGTATTGGCGTCGTTTCACTATATAATACACGGTGTTTTTTTATTTATTTATTTATTTATTTTTATTTTCGCCAACGACTTTTCCACCGGACGTATTCCAGTCGAACGTCCGTGTTTAGCGTCGAAATCAAATTTCGTCTGGTGGTCGGTCCGCCGAGGCGGTCGTTTTTTTTTTTTTTAGATTCCGAGCGTAGCGAGGGAGCTATTTGTTTTACAATGCTGTTTATTTTTTCATTTTCTTCTGCTTTGTTCTAGTCTGTAGACGCGTTTTTTCCTAGTAAACTTGCTCCGATTTTTACGCGTAGCAACTTTTCTGAAAGCCCGAGTTGTCTATATGGCACGTTAGAGACGTCTTTTTGATTTTCCTTGTAATTTTATTGACGATTGCAGGGAAAAACTGGAAAATTGACGGCAATAACGGTCGCGTTGTTTTCGAATTATATTTTTGTTTTGTTGTTCGAATAGCGATTCGGTTGAAAATAATCGTATATATTTATATATATATATACATGTATAGACAACCCAAATGTTCACAGAGTACTTTTCCCATCGAACTTTATACGACTATCTATTATGTCGATAAATAATGTATTCGTCGGGGATTTATTGTACTTTCATAATATATTAAGTCAACGGAAACGTCGTCTCTGGCCCTCTAATATTAAGAGGACTGCTTTACGTGCGTTATCTGGTGTCCGTCTTACACCACATAAACACGCGCTTAGCGGGGATAACTCTGCGCCGTTATTGTTTTAATATCGAACTTAAAAGTATAGTAGAACATGTTATCCTTGAAAATCAATTATCGATATTTTAATTTTTAAACTGCGTATTTCACTTAAAAATCAAAATATCGAAAAATGTTTTCGAATGGTTGCGCAGATTATGTTTTGCTTTTGAGTTTTCGGTAAATTCGCTCGGGTATTAAATTACTCTATAATAGCGCAATTTTGTTTGACGGCAACAGCAAATGCACGTACGTAGCGTCATCTTAACCGAAATATACAAACGCCCAAACTTACGTATATGCATACCCAGATACCTATTATTTTTTTTCATAAAACGAGTCGGAAAAATGTTACAAGTATGTTGTAAATAATAAATTGACTATAGTAATTATTAATTTCCGCGTTTTCACTGATTATCGTACGAAATAAATAATAATGAGGTATTATTATTAATGCCACATAGCTATACGTATATAAATTTATTATAGTATTATTTTAGTACACGTATGATAATAATAACGTTATGTTTATACGCGAATACGACGTCCAATTATGTTAATTTTTCCTTATCTAGTATTAAAATTACGTTTTTCATTATGCAATATTTTAGTTTTTTGGGTGAAAACATCCGCCGGGACTTAATACGATCATTTTAAGAATTAAATTAATTTTACTGTGGGTATACGATAAACGTGGATATCGAATAATTACGCATACACACGTTTTCTGTCTTTTTTTTTTTTTTACAAAATAAATTCAAACTTTCTTATTAATTACCTAAAATACAATAATTATTATTATATGCATTTCATAGATCAGTTGCGATTAATATAATTAAATCGAGAATCGTCACTTGCGGGGCGAGAGAAAATAAAACGGGGTCAAGGGTTCTCGCAAGATCCGCGTGTCGAAAAATATTTGTATAGAAAACCGATTTTTTTACAAGTATTCCCATAAATTTACCTCTCAAAAAAAAAAAATAATACAATATAATTGTATAAAACACGCCGTCAGTAAATTTATCGAGTTCGTTTGGATATAATATTTTGTTTGGTCCCGGGGAAGAAGGGCTTAAGTTAATTTTCGAAATTTTTTTTTTAAATAATTTTATCTGATGTACATATAATTCTGTTTCCTTTGTGTATGGGCATTTTAAAAAATTAGCGTATTTAGTGTATTAGTTTTTGTGCATGGGCGAGTATTTTTAAATTCAATTTACTCGTGTTGAAAACTATACGAAATTGACATGAGCCCTTCTTCCCTGGGATCAAAGAATTTCATCGCGATAATAATGCTAAAAATATTGATTTCAAAAATAACGCCTTTGTTAGCTGATCGAATGGTGATATTGACGTACAGTATATTTTCGTTCCGGTAATTATTGCGTATTGTATTAATAAATGCACTTTTAACATCGAGACAACAATATAAAAACGTGTTCACCGCCGTCGCGGAATTATTTATGTTTTGGCATCGCATCGGAAACTCCTCTATACTTGTGGTACACTAATTTGCTAACTAATTTCGCTCGGCGAACGGATGCAGTGGACGCATTTTATGTTATTGCGGTGCAGCGAATGCTCTCCGTCTAATTACCGCGCAATACCACTTAACTAATTTGTACTCTATAGGAAAAAAAAAAAAATCCTCCTTCAGAGTTTATTGCGATATTTATTTTTCATTGGAATTCGTGTGTACAGGTATACGTGTGTATTTTTTTTTTTTTGTATACCTGTGTGTGTGTGTGTGCGTGTGTGTGTGTGTGTGTGTCGGTATATACACCCGGAGGAATAATAATAAAGAAAGAAAAAAAAAAAATGAAAAAAAGGCGATGAATATAAAGTGTGTAAAAACAATATCGCACCTGCTGCCAGCCACGGTCTTATAAAAAATACGATACCGGACGATTTTTTTGTTTTTTAATGAACCGCATATAATACATATATTACGTATATATGTATACAATCCTAATATTTATTGATACGAATCCCTAAAAATGAGTTGTTGTTATTTCTTCGATATTGTTTAATGTAAATTGATATTGACGATAACAAGAATAAAAACAGCGTATAAAGTTTTATAACATAATATTATATTTTACCGATTCGAACGCAATTTTAATAATAGTAATAATATATACTTTATGTAATAAAGTTATTGATTTCGGAACGATCTCTTAAACTCGATAGTTTTCGTTTTATTTGTTTAGCTAAAAGAGCGCATACACAGGTCGTAAATAAATTCTCGGGGAAATCGATCGAATTCGCTTTTGACGATTCATTTTATTTTTATAAACTTTTCGTTAAATTAAAGTTCCGAAGATACTGTGTGCGCTGCGGCACTGAACAATATATTATATTATCTTATTTTTAAGAGTCTTTAAACTATCCGCAGTTTATTGTATATATTATTGCGCGTTCGTAATTTTGTCGTTCCCGACAGTGAAAAAAATGCGCCGTCGTTTTACTGTGAAAAAAAAAAAACCGTTGCGAGTCGGGGCGGTGAGAATAAAATATCACGTTGAATTCAATTGTCACGGTGGTGTGCGGATGCGACGCCTAAACACCCCCTCCCAAAGCCGCGTGTAATTTCTTCAAAACGTCGCTTGTATACATTATTTACGATTTTAACACAATATCATTTTTTTTACCATTAATTATTACTATTTGTTAGTATCTATATAAACGAGTATTATGTAGACTAATGTATTGTACAGGTTGAATATATATTATTAATGCTCGCAAAGTATAACGCCTATAATAGTGATTACGATATTTTTTTTTATATTACCTACAATATTTTTAATAGCATACCGCGTCGTTTTCGTTCAACGGATATAGTTAATACCCTATTATAATTATTAGAAAAAAAAAAAAAAACATTGGTATTTTTATACTATAGCTATAGTGCGTGGATAATAATTTTCCGAGGTATTTCGGGAACTCCGAGTAATAATTTCCAATATTGGCTGCTGAAACGAATTCAGCTGAGCAAACATCGGGGCATTGTTGTAATTCTAGTAGGACGCGGTTATAATATATATTATAAGGGGTGGGTTGATGGAGATATCCCCTATATTCTACAACGAGAGGGGTCCGCCGCTTGATGAATGGCCTCAGATGCACTTCAAAAGCTGCTGTGCACTCAACAAATAGTTTTTTCCCCGAAGTAATTAAAGGTGTTCCGTTTACGTAAAAAAATTACAAGTGTTAGTTAAAGGTTGCTAAGGGTGTACTAACTACGAATAATTTCAACAACAGAATAATAACGGTACCTCGGTATGCCTATAGGCAATTGATTAACGTAAGACCCGCGTTATTATTTTCCATCCATATATTATATTAATTGTTAAATACGTATAACTTTTATTTTCAGTAGTTTTTTGGAAAATTTAACGTCATTTTAATTTTTCAAATATATATATATAAAAAAAAAAAGAAACATAAATAAAATCAAATAATATTTATACATATGGATGTAATATAATATATAAATATTAGACATGTACGAATATTTATATCTTAAGCTTTCTAATACGCAATGTTTTGTTTTGTTATTTTTCTAGATTTATTCATATGTTTTACATTATACATGGATAATATTTAAATTTGAATTTCTTTATTACGTACTAATACGGCACCAGCAAATGTTCTCTACTGTAACCTCTTGAATTTTAAAGGAGCTAAAAACAAATTCTATTGTTTCGCTTACGAATTATGTATCGTGCGAAGAACAACATTCAGGGTATGCCTACTTCATAGTCTGCTGCTTCATGCATGCAATAGAGGGTCCTAGAATTTTTCAGTGTATCCATTACTTAAACTCGGGTCATTTTTACATTTGCTATTGATTTAATTCCAACTGCAGTACGTGTATTATATGTATTATGATCTACCGTGATTAAACTTTATGTGATTTTAAATTCCGAGCGTATCGAGAAATATATTGTCTAGGCAATGGTTTTACTATAATGTGTACTTGTTTTTTTGTTTTTCCGTCCGTGAACATTTTTACTACCAGAATGCTTGCCGTAACAGAATGAAAAGTCGTGTGTATATTTGTATAGTTTTTTATTATAATAATGATTTAAGATCAAATTTTGATGAAAATCGTATAAATGACGGCATTTCAAAACATGTATAACCGTACTTTGCTCAGAATCGATTTTCGTTAGCAGTGGTTTATCGTTGCGGACTGGTATAAATTAAATAATTGTTTGTACTCTGCCAACTTCCCACCTACAACAGTGGCACACTCGTCTCGTGTATCAGTTCTTTCTCTTAATTATTTTTAATCTTAATTTTTTAATAAGTGGCATAATTATATGAATATTCTAACACACGTTATTCAGAATACTAAAATATTTTAAGTCATTATATAATGTACTTTTTGTTTATAAAAAAAAAGGCACAAGTTTTTATATTATGTAAGCAATAGCAAATTAGCCAACTAGCTCTTACTTACCCTGGAACCAAAGAATTATTACAATCGTTACAAACGACTTATAGAAAATAATATCGGCATCAGTACGGTTTATTATATAATTTCGTAGTGCCATCACGCCGCGTGTGTCGTAACGTGTACGAAAATAGACCCTGGTAAATAGGAAATGGGATTAAGAAAACGAGAAGAAACAAACGCGCGTCACGGGTACATTATTAATATAACGTTGGGAAAAAGACCTTTGAAAAACTCTCGTCGCCGGATACTATTTGAAATAGTATTGCGTAAGCCGTAGCTATAATCGGGGGAGAACTAGGAAAAAAAAATTGGCCCCGGCAAAACAGAAAATCCGGCTCAAAATCTCATAACTATCGAGGCGTTAAAAACGACATTATTGCAATAATATTATTATAATTTGTATTTATATTATTATAATTTTAAACAGAAAGTATCGTTTCGCTCTATTTGAAAAATAAATAAATACAACTTTTTCGTTTATTAAATTATCGGTATAATATCCAATGGGTAAATCGTTGGTTAATATTATGTACACCAGATTCCAGAATACCATGATTTTTCCAATAATTACTAAAGTTTCGTATAGGATTTTCTGAAAAATGATCAAAAATTTTCATGGTTATTAAAAATGTGTACATGGATTTTTGTTAGTGATTTACCTTCTGGGCATAAATCGGTTCGAAATAATTCGAGCTACTCAAATTTTCATGGATTCTGGCGCCCGTCCCAGCCTTCAATCCGCTTCTGCCTATAATATCGACACGGTATTTTTAGCATAATATTTGTACCTAACGAAATAAAAATGCGGATATTCGCTACGTGTTTTTTTTTTAAAAAGCTAAACCGTTCTTTTTCTCGCTAAAACGAGAAGCTTGATTATTTTAATATGTATAGAATGCTGTTTTTGTATTTTCGTTAAAGGGGTTCGGAACGGACCGTTTTTTTCGACTAAAACATCGTCAACTATCGTCAGTCCTAATGAACCTAGATGGACATAGTGATGCGACAAGACTTTTAAAAACCTATTTGAATTCATTATTGTATATACCTGATACTGAGATCGGTCACTTTTTCGAATTTCGACTACTAATTTTTTCAATCTCGATTCAACAATCATAAAATTTAAAATACCGCAAATTTCGTTTTTAATACGGAATTAAAATTCTTAAAAAAGTGACGCGGCCGACATAATAATGAATCCGAACCGAGTTTTTAAAGTCTTATCGCGTCACTGAGTCTATCGGATTTTTGTTGGTTTTTTTTAGGTTCGGAACGTAGCAAGGAATGTATTGGTTTTACGATGATGTTTTTTTTTTCCTATGATGCGTAACTTTTCTACCAGAAATTTCGCTCCAATGTATCGAGCATAAATAGCACTGTTTCTGAAAGGAAATTTCGTCTAGTTGGCACAGAGGTCGATTTTCCGAGCGGTTTTCAGAGTAATCGGGGGAAAAACGGGAAAATCTACGCGCACGCGTAAAAGAAACTTCGCTCTGAATCGTTTTCGCAGTAGCAACGACAGCTGTTTATTTTGTATTAAATTCGATTCGCTTCTATTTCCAAGCTCGCCAACATCTCGTCTACAATAATATGTAATACAGTGCGAGCCGCCCGTCGTGCAAAGTATGTTTTTTTTTTTTTTTCTAGATTTTCTCTCTAAAAACCGGGGTTCGACAACGTCCGCCGATCGCTCGGTATAAAATATTAAAACGAATTTCTCGGCGCGCGGCTGAGAACCCCTGCGCGGCAACGGCAGCGGCGTAGGGTTGTCCGTCCGAGGCGATCCGAGGAGCCCCGCCGACCGCCGGCGAACTACGCGGTTGGGGCCCGTCGTCGTGCGTTTTTTTCTTCACTCGTTTCCCCAGTGCGCGCCTGGCCGTTGTCGTTCCGCGTAGTGGCCACCGTGTCGTGTGTCGGAACCGATAATAATAATGTAACGTCGTCGTCGCGGGGTTTTTTTTTTTTTTTTTTTTCATGGTCTCATGAAAATGTCTGTACTTTGAACGTGTCCGTGTATACAGTATTTGTACGCGCGAACAAAAAACAATACGACAATCGACGACTCGTCTGCAGCAGCAGCAGGACGCTGTCGCGACTGTAACGCCGCGTTTCGTAAACCGTGTGGTTTTACGGCCCGAAAACACGCGACAGCGGATTGGGACGGTTGACATTTGAAAAACGCGAAATAGCGTCGAGAAAAAAACCGGAAAAAAAAAAAAAATAAACAAAAACAAAAATCGAAGGGCGGGCTGTAACCGCTTTTATTACAGTGCGATCGCGAGGCGTTCTCCGGGTCATCGCGAACCGAGTGTACGGCACCGCCGAAGACGCGTCCGTCAAATTGTTTTTCACCGCGGACGAATATTATTTCGACGGTCCCGGGGAGTTTTCAACACGCGCGCGGTTCAAAATCAACAGGTCTTTTATTATTATTATTGTTTTTTTTTTTTTCTGTCCCGTCCGTAAATTAATATTATTTTGTTATTATTTCATTTTTTTTTTTTTTATTTTTCCCCGTCACCACATCGCGCGATCATCATCGCGGGTATACCCACCTCTATTTACTGCGTACTGCGCAACGTTGCGCGCGCGTATAAATGTAAACAAAATAATATCCGAGGGCGTTTCAAATAATACACACACACACACACACACACACACACACGCTTGCGCGCGCACACACACACACGCACGCACGCACGCACACTCGGGTAAACCGAAATGTTCTCGTGCGATTCCAAAGCGTGTCGTCTATTTTATAATAATAATAATAATACGTGTATTATATTATTACGCCACCTATAACCACCGATACCAGTGTTATTAAACTATCCGGTATAATATCATACCGCGTCAAACACGTTTTTCAATGGGATTCCGTCTATTCCGTAGAAGAAAAAAAAAAATTAGATAAACTCCAATTTTGTTTTCGCGTATAATATATTATAATAAGAGTACCGTTAAGTGCACACTGTCGCATAATATTTTTAGGGCATAGTCTTGATTGATACGCCCGTTTATAGGAGGAGGGGGTGAGGGGGTTTCTGGGATGTTTTTTCTCACTCCTTCTTTTCGACGTTCACGGCCCGGTGTCTGTTTTTAATTTTTCCGTAATAATCTTGTAAACTATGCACGTGGAAAACGTGGTTTTCGTTGCGAGGCTTTTGTTTATCGTGCGCAGCACTATATTATAATATTATTACAGCCGATATTATCTAAATATACCTACATACGCATTTCGCTATTATAAATTAGGTGTATTTATACAGTGTACCGTAATCGAGTATTATTTTATAATATTTATTATACCTGTACATATTGAAATACCGTATTTTATCTGCAAACACCTATACTTATATATTCTCGTGTCCTATATACTTTTTATATATATATGTATACATTTTTTTTTTTAAACGAAATAAAACAAAGCATCAAATATTCTTTATTATTAATAAATATATCGCGTGTAAATATTTATTTTACGAATTGTGTTTTAATTGGAAACCGATACGCAACGTTCGAATTCGAACTATATTGTCGTTAATACAACATTAAGTGGAGCACCGCGTATTTTACATTTCGATAGTAGTTTTATGCTCGAAATCCGTTCTATAGCCAGGGATACACTGCGGGGAGTAGTTCTGGTACTCTCGTTTTGTCGTGCACGAATTAACCGGAATTAAGGTACAGGTAATTCGTAAAGTATGTTATGTTGAACGTTTGGCGGTTTTACAATATTCATTTTGAAACATAAATATTCGTTTACTTTCCGAATGCAAGTGTGTTTAAAAAGCCATAATCTCTTTAGAATTCAACGCGACTATAGTATTATTTTCGTTATAATGATATATGAAATCGAATAAAAACACACGGCGGGTAAATCGTTTTATATTAAACAGGCAAAACAAGCGTTCACGTTGAAAAAAAACCTATTAACGACAAACACGGTTAGTCTAAAGACCGGGAAAATATACTTATAAAGCGTTTTGTCCATATGAAACACAAAACATGCTGGAACTCTATAGTTATAGCACTTTACGAAGTAGAAAAAATGATTGAAGCATTTGAAACAAATAGTGCTGGAATAAAGAACGCAGACAATTTCTCGGACAGAGAAAGTTAAAAATTAAGACGTGTATTATACTTAAGAATGAATTGAAAACAATCGGGGAAAGGAAGAAAAACCGGATCGGACGCGTCATAATTAGAAACAATAAACGGATAATGATAATAACGGAAGGAAAGATATCGGGAAAAGCTGCGGGAAGAGAGGATTACACCAAAAACGCCGTTTATAACGTGGACCGTATAATATAGAAGACATAGGGAAATCCGTTTAACAATGAGAACCGGAGGTCCGTCGAAATCACCGAACCAATCGCAGGATCGAAAAAACGCAACAAATATGTCAAACAGGTATACCGCCTACTTATTTTATGAAGTACCTACATAATATTGCGAGTCGGGTTCGGTACCTCTGTAAAACGGATCACGGGGACGCAGTGACGCAGTTATATAATTTAACAATAAACTAGTTGCAATGTAGTTTTATAACAATTTTTTTTTTTTTGTTACGTCCTTTTCAAGATCAGATCACTCTGAGTAAAATTGTGTTCGGGTCTTGGTTTTTAATGACATCACGGCGGCACGACCACCTATAATAATATTATTAACGTTACCGGACTGCTTTGTCCGGTAATGCAGTTTGGACGCATATTTCCTATCTATAGAATTTTTTACAGGAGGTGACCCGCGCAGTGATGGTCCGAAATAAATTTTCTGTTAAATTATTTTTGCGCAACAACAAACAGTGTTTAAAGAAGTTTAGAATTGAGATTTCGAGTTGTTTTTCGAAGATCTTCGTCGCTATGCTCGTTTTGTTACGAATTCGTTTCGCGTATTTTCGGTTGAGAATTTAGGACATTATAGGTTTTAGTGGTTTTTTTTTTTGTTTTTACATTTTTTCGTGCATTTTTGAATTTCGATGAGGCATTACGTACTCAGTATTATTTTATATTGCCCATAGTTAAGAATAACGCATTTATTTTACCCTTCGGTATACTCAATGATTTTACGTGACATACTAAATAATATGAGTCGGTATTAACTGTTGGTATAATATTATATTATTAGGTAAATCGTGCATTCTTTTAATATCGCCATGATAATAATATTAATTATAATACACACAAAATTATTTATCTCGTCGAGTAATAATTTCACGAGTGCCGTCGATTGATAATAAATGCATTATGCCGTACAGGTATATTTGCCTATATTAGCTACTAGCTATTGATAATTAGAAAAAATGAAACAAAAGTAAAAATTACAAAGTTTAATTACAATAAATATAAACGATTGTAGATGCGTATTTTTCTTAATTTTTTTTTTGTACACAACACGATCCTCATAGCTCTTAAGCTACGGCTTCACTCACGGGCTATTATTGCGAATGCGCGCGATCTTTTATTTCATTCCGACCCGACCGTAATCATAAAATAATAATTTCGCTGCTGTAGTGATACGGCGGTGCATGTATGTTAGGTTCGTGATTTATTTAATCGCTCAAAGGAAACCCTTTTGGGCGGAATACGATGACTTTTGTTTGAGAAAACCCGACGACCGCGTTTATTCTTGTCGATAGGTTACGCGATGTTATTATTATATAGGTGGCCCATATTTTAGATATTGTATGCTCGGTTCGAATAACAATTTCAGATATTTTATCAAGGACAAAATAATATATTATTAACCGTTCGCACGCGATTCGATATAATTTAATATGTTATATAGCTAAGTAGATACATAAATTACAAATTAAAAAGAAAAATTATAAAATCCAGTCTGTATAATTTGTTTATTGAATTATATTCCGAGTAATATTTTAGGAACCCAGTAGATATACACCGGTGTGTGTGCGCGTGTGTGTGTTCTTCATTATGAATTTATAATACATAAAATATTATATACGTATTATAATGCAGTGTATAATATTATATTTTATGTTGTATTGGACAACCTCCGTTTTAGAATTGTAATTCTGTTATTGACTTTCACATAATTACTCGCAGTAGCAGTACTTACTATTGTATACATATTGTGTTTAAAGAAACAGTTATAATCACACGATTACTCATTTACGTGACGATAACTTACTATTTTCGTTTACACGTTTATAATAATATTTTAATATAGAACAAATAAATTGTATGGAACTTTATACAACTGTTATGTTTTAATAAAGGCTAAAAGGTTTGTATTTTAACTGATGGGTGTGCTATTGTTATAAGAGGGAAATTGGAAGGGGGAATACAAATAGAGTATAGCATTTTAAGTACACAACGATAAATATGGTTTATAAACAAAAAACGATTTTAAGCGAAGTTCTTTCCCAGAAATCAACAAAAATTATACAAAAAATTGCAAGTTGCTCCGATTTACTATAAAAACTACCAGGAAAACCAAAAAAATAACCTAACGCAAAATTTATAGATCAAAAATTCTATAAGAAATTTCGATTGAGGCGAGAATTCTGATAGAAAAGTTGTTTACAGACAAACATAAAAAAAAAAAACGGACATACTTCTTACAATGGGTGGGCCACTGTTGTAGGTGAGAAGTTGGCAAGGTAGAGAGGAAATGTATATCTGTACGCAACGATTAACCATTGCTAACAAAAAACGATTCTGAGCGGAGTTCGGTTATACAGGTTTTGAAAGGCCGAGATATTTACGATTTGAAAATAATACAATTTGTAAATTTTCTAGTTTTTTCTATTTTTCCCAATTTATTATGGAAAATCAAATAAATGGCCGTCCTAAAGTATTACTCCGGTCAAATTTTCTTTCAGAGAAAGTTTACACTTGAAAATTAGAGCAAAATATCTGGTAGAAAAGTTGTTTTCAGAAAAAACAAAATAAACACCATTGTAAAAACCAATACATTCCTAGCTCTGCTCAGAATAAAAAAAAACCCCAATAGTAAAACCAATACATTTCTCATCGTTCGGAATCTAAAATACAAGTATTTACCGGTGTCCATAAGTTGTTTTTCTATGTTTGTAATAATATTATAATTCCCTTAATACGTTAATTTCAATAAGAAAAAAACTGATTAAAAAAAAAAAAAAAAAAAAAAAAAAAAAAAAAAAAAAACGAATAATATAGTAAATTAATTATACTGTAGTATATTAATTTTTTTTTAAGTAGTATAAACACACTAACGGCTGACACACAGTCATTGACTATATCTTGTTTAATTGTCATATAGATAAAATATTAATTAAAATTTAACTTTTAAAATCGCTATTAAAGTAATGAGAGAAACGTAATATGCTATACCTATTATGTGTGTTCACTTGAACAGAATATCTGAACATTGTTATAATTTTATAAAAATATAATAGACTTCCGCTAGCCCGAAATACGATTACGAACAATAGAATTCAAGATCAGTCATCTAAACCAGTTTTGTGAAAAAAAAAAAAAAATTGCTCGAGTTATCTATAATATGACGTAGGCAAATTGTCAAATTAATTTCTAGTGTATTTATTTACTATACGTAGGTGCACAAAATTTAAATTTGAACGCATACAGATAATCTACTAGCCCATAGGATTCTGTGCAATTTATGTAAATATATTTAGCCTGCGAGTAATTTGTTTGTTAATTATTTTTCAACTTTTTGAATATTAGAATCTCTTTTCGACGGGTAATATGGTTTCGTATGAATACATTAGGTATTAAGTAAGTGCATTATTCGGTGTGAGCTATCGCGGTCGGAAAATTTATAATTTACGAATGCCTATATATTATATACTATTATATGATACATATATAGCTGCAGCTTATTGCAGTCGGAGCCTGCGGGACATTTAGCATTTGAAATTCTTATTGAAAGGAGGGTAGAAATGCGTATATAAAGCCTACAAACAACCCTTCATGCATTATGCGCATAGAGTTTTTTTTTTTTGCTTTTTACTGTTGATTCTTTCCCGTCGAAGTGAAATCGATTTTATTTTTCGATTATAATAATATATAGTGTTCGCGCTAACTGCACACGTATGCACCATCATATTATGTAGGCAGGCGCGTCTTTTGAAGTCTCGTCATCGCGGTTATTCGGTAACGTTCAAATATCATATTATAATATAATATCGTGTACGTTTTAGGCGTAACTCGTATACATATCAAAAAATATGCGCCATAGAGATACGTTTGAAAAACAAAAAAACAAATATTTAACAGGAAAAGAAATGACATATTTATACGACGAAGTGCTCCTATATACCATTATACCTATATACTATTATATATAGGGACAAGGTTTTTTTTTCCTACAGGAGAATACGACAAAGTTAATAAAGTTAAAGAAGTGCTAGAATATTCCGCCCACCATATATAATATTATAATATAGTATATGGTAGTCCAGACACATAATATTATAATATCGCCCTTATATTATTATATACATCACGATAGACGGGTTTTCATGTTGAAATCGGATGATATAATCTCACCGATGGCGCAAGCATATTATTGTATTTTATTCTTTTAATATCGGATACGTTATATTGTATAAGTATATAGGTAGGTACTCTTTCAATATTTATAATGTTTAATATTAACCATTTGAAAGTAACCGTACAAAGTCGCATAATATGTTTTTAAATCTAGCGATCCCTCACTTGTTTCTAACTGCAGGCCCATTTCCAACCTTCCCCATATTTCAAAATTGTTTGAGTCCATAATATATTCTTCAATTATAAATTCAAGAAGTCTTAACCATTTTTAGTGGATGACCAACATGGTTTCCGTCCTAGAAAATCTTCTATAACTTGTAGCCTAGTTCTCACATTCTACATTTCAGAAAGCTTTAAGTCTGATCGTCAAGTTGATGCTGTTCACAGACTTTAATAAAGCTTTCGACACAGTTATCTTTAGTCGTCTTATCTCTGAACTAGAATCACTCTGTATTGGTAATCCTTTACTCTCCTGCTTCCAGTCATATCTTAGTCCAAGAATTTAATTTGTAAAAGTTCATGGCACTTCTTCGGAGCTATCCATAACTTTCTCTGAAGTCCCCCAAGGAAGACATCTAAGTCTTCTTCTGTTCATTCTTTTGATTAACTCAATTACCTTTCATTTTCTAAAGCTCTTCTATTGACCTATGGCATTAAAATTTATTCTAAAAAATTACTTCCTTTTCTGACTGCCTCCAACTTCAATCAGATTTTGACTGTTTCCATCTCTGGACCCAGCGTATTGGCCTTACGCTCAATCTAAACAAGTGCATCTTTGTATCCTCTACATCGTGTATCCTCTGTCAAAGATCTTGGGTTCTGTACCTAATTCCTTCTCTTTCTTTTGAACACCACATTAATATTGCAGTTGATAGTGCCCTAAAAGTTCTGGGTTTCATAAAGCGCAACATTAGCCTTTTCACGTCTTACGCTTTGTTCCCTCTACATTTCTCTTGTACGCTCTATTCTGGAATATGATATAGTTGTATGGCACCCGTATTTGGCTAAGGACCAATTAAAAACAGATCGAGTTCAAAACCGCTTCCTATCCTATGTTTCTTATCTACTTAAAATTGATCACCCCCCCCCTCATAATTATTCTACCATTAGATTTTCCTTAAATACCTTTGCCTCTCGCCGTGTAGATGCTGACCTTTTAATTATATCTTCTCTTCTTAATGATACAGTTGATGCCCCTGACCTTCTGTCTTCTATCTCTTTCTGCGTAACAGTCCATTATACTAGAAATTACTCTTTTTTTCATGTTCCATCTCACCGTACCAACTATTCCCACAACCATTCTTTACATAGAATGCTTCGTCTCCTCAATAATTCCTAGATCCGTAATCGATTTGAACATTTATTTATTTTAGCTTGTAGTTTTTAGTTTTTAATTTCGTAGCCTATTGCATATGCTAATTCCTATTTGTAATTATACTTGTTGTTTAGTTTAGGTTAAATCATATACTACTGTGTTTTACATATTGTTTTAATTGTAAGATCTTTACCACTATTAATAACCGTTCGTTTTACTATATCTCCGACCTTTTATAATATATCTTTGAGTTGTGGTTTGGCGTTAAATGAATAAATAAATAATTCAATATTATATAAATTATATAGTTTGGTACGCCAGTGTCGTTATTTGAAAATTGATATTATGATATTTGTTCGCAGTCGAATAACTTGAGTTTCAAAAATTATTCGGTACCTAAACGTTATAAATACATTATTAATTTTTCAACCACTAAGTAATTTATTTATTTTTTTTGTATTTTTAAATAATTTCCAAAATGTTTTTTTCCCCGCTCGAACATAATGGAATTCGAGTTATTATACGAGTATAAAAACGGGTAAGTATTCAACAAATTTAACAATTTAGTTTACAACGTAGCAAATTTAATAAGATATGTATTTATAACGGTATGTTTTACGTCAAATCATTCGATAATAATTTAAATTGTAAAATAAATTTAGTAATTTAACTGCGTATTTAACAATAAATGTTTTGAACTCTATGATAGTATATTACACATTAATGTTATTGAATAACGGTAGCGGGTTTTGAGAAACCTACATAATTTTGTAAAAAAAAAAAAAAAAAAAAATGCTCCATACAAACTGAAAACCCGCCGTGAAAACGGAAAAAAAATCCCATTCGACTAAAAACATTAATTCTTTTAAACCGCGCATAAGTCACTTCCGTTAGGTTTTAGGCATTCGAACGTGGAAATTAATAATGTTGTATAAATGTGAAATATGAATCATGTACGACCGGTGGCATCGTTTGCTGCGGGATGCAAGGGTATACGAATGCGTCTCCCGTGAATATTTTTTTTTTTCAACTCGTTCGAAATGTGTAGACGTAGATAGTTTCATAGAATTTATAGTATAGAAAAATCATTATGTAATTTTGCAAAAATGTTTTTTTGTTGCTTTATCACAATATTTTAGCGATTAGAATATTAGTCATGTATTATAGTGCAGTACGAAATAGAGATATAGTTATTGCTAAATTATGGCCTAGAATATTTTCATGACTAATGTGATCTAAAATACATAAAATTATACTTGAAAATGCGTATGCATTTTATGATGCTTGTGAGTTTTTTTTTTTTTAAATTATTTTAATGTAAAATGTATAATCAATATTTTGAAATTAATTGAAGTAGGTTTTCGAATTTTATTTTATACATTTTAATATTTTTCGATTAAACAATTATAATTTTACACGTTGGAAACGTGGATTCATTTCGTGCTTAATATGGTACGCAAGCAAAGCGAGCGGCTTTGGTATTGATTTAAATTCGCAGTATGATTTCGTATCCAATGACGTGAATAAATTTCAGTGTACGACATAAACTGTGTATGCACGATGAACCCGTATTAAATTTTCGAAAATATTTGCTTGACCAAAACAATTTTATACGTATATAAAATAGTACGCGAAACGTGATTTTTACGATTTTCGCAAACATTTTAAACGGCTGTATGATAAAAAAAAAAAATTACGATCAACGTAAAAAAGGGGTTTATCTGATTTTTAAACTGAGTTTATGGCTGATCACCGATCACAATTAGTCGATTATCTTATAAACTCCGTTTAAAACTCAACGTTGATGAGAACGGGCCTAAAACGCGCCTTATTACGACTTATTAATTGTATAGAGTTTTCGGTCGTTATAAAAATTATATTCACATAAAATCTCGACGATTTCCAATATCTACCAATGTACCGAATTCACTACAAGTTAACTATAAAATTAAGTTCTCTTATCATTTTTCGATCGGAATAGGATTTCTGGTGTAGAATGGTTGCTGTTAACGGACACACGGAAAAAAACTATACACGATCAGTAAAACCAATGAATATAGGAAAGCACCATATAAATAATAGATACAAAACAAATGTGTTCAAAGAGGGAGAGATACACTCTAATTCGCCATTGTTCCCCTAATATACCACTTTAATTATAATTCTGGTTTAGAAGCATACTTTTTCAAAACGTTTTAAACGCTCCGTTTCGATTTGAATATTATTCGCCCGTTTTTCGAAAGCGAAATAACCATGAGTTTTGAAATAGAAGAATACGCCGACATTCCATGTTCAAATATCGTTTGTGCGATTCTTATAATATAATATAATATAATATTTTACGTACATTTTTTTTTTCTTATGTTTTTGCGATAAACCGCCGTTATAATTTCGAACTGCGATACACTCAATTTCGGTTCGAGGAATCGAGTGTATATTTTACAATATTACGCATAGCACACCGCGAGTTATATTTCAAAATCTGTGTGCGTATAGTGTATCTATAACATAAGGCCGACTGTCAACGAGAAAGAATTGTCGACTATTGTTTTTGGTTGTTTTTTTTTTTTTTTTTCTGTTTCACGAACGAAACTCGTATTTGTTTGTTTTAAATCGTAATTTATAACAAATTACGTTTTACTAGAGAGTATAATATTATTTTCATAGTAAATAATTAATTGTAATTTTATATTTTCGTTAGCCGGGGCTGTAGTCGCGGTGAATTACTCGTCGCCCCGCCATCTCGTCCGGCCCGGTACCGGAATGCGGTTCTCTTATGCTTTATTTTTTTTTTTTTTTAATCTCGTTTTCGTGCAAACTTACCGCCGCGAGCCGCGTAGGTATAGAGTATCCCGCCGTCACGGGAAAACAATACGAATAGTCTTTTTGGGGACGAACGGCGAATAGTATAACACTGCAGTAATAATGAGTAAAGTATCCGGTTTTTTTTTTTTCTCATTTTTTATACGAGGACATTGCGTATTATTATTGTACAAGGGAATTGATATTCGATTGACGGCGCGTACGACTAAATTTTAGCCCGCGCGTACACACAGACACACGCACACACGCACACACGCGAAATATTATTAAATCGCGCGAGGGCGGCGGCGCCGTTCGTCCGTCCGCATAGGACAGACACCGCCGCCGATGCTGAAGCCGCCGCCGCCGCCGTCGTCGTCGTCGTCGTCGTTCGTCGGCCGTCCGCCGGTATATTATTATGTATTATATACAGCGCGCTCGACGTGGGCGCGCACGGGGTAAACAGGTACGCGCAGCGGCGTGCACGGCGTTTTAATATACGAGAGGAGATGGCAGTTGGGTGGTGAGGTTCTGAATACAATTATAGTTTTGGTCGTTTCGGATATACAAAATCATTAAACATATTTTCGGGCAGAAATTGGTACGACACGCGCGGTACTTACAGCCGCCAAACTGCTCCTTCAAACAGTACCGGATTCACGCGCATTTGAAATCCGCGAAAAAAGCGACGGAAAACGTCAAAGAGACCCCGAGAAAATATTTGTAAATAAATGAAAACGGCAGAGCGGTTTAAAAGTCTCCCCCCTCCCCCTCCCTTCGATCGGCTCTCAATTATAGAATACAATTTTCCGTACAACGTTAAACCTTTTTTATACTACGTATAAGTACAATATTGTATTTTAATTATATATAATTACCGAGTGTTTTTTACGAAGTGTTTTCAATGTTCGAAAATCGTATTTAATATTTTAGAAGAGCCATTAAAGGGGTAGGGGGAACTTTTAAACTCTCTACCGTTTTAGATTTTTAAAAATTTTTCAAGCGTTTTTCAGGGCTTTTGCTTGTAGATTTTAAGTGCATATAAATCCGGTCTCTGAATTAATGTCTTATCATATAATCAGAGCTCGGATTCATTAGCATTTGTGTATTATTTTCGGTGACACCTAGTACACCTAATAGCAAGTGAGAAACAAATTTATTTCGTACTTCGCTAATGTCGTGTACGAAATTGTTCGGTTCTTTTTTTTTTGCACATGTTTAGGATTTATACAGCTATTTTGCTGATCAAGCGATTTTCAAATCGTACGACTAAACGCGTCCGAAAAAGACGGTCGTTATTGTCAGTTATTGCAGTCACATCGTACTGTACGTTATTGTCCCCGGACGATTATATTTCACATATTTTCCATTTCGTAGTGCTTTGATGATGTATAACGCTTATTTTGGCGATCTTAAGCGATAATAACTGACCCCTTTTTTTTTTTTTTTTTTTTTTTTTTTATGACATTACTTCCGAGCCCCGGTCATAATAAAGTATATATAATAATAAGTAGGTATATAATATGCTTTATACTTATTACTTAGCAAATGGTTTTGTGTTAAATTTTGTGTCCTAATATCAATAATAATAATAATAATAATAAAAAAGACGATAATTACACGAAATCCATAAAGCATAAATAAAAGATTAATGGTGGTGGGGGTGGGGCACGTGACACTCTCATTCTCCCACCCGCGAGAACGCCCCTGCCCGCTTCGACGCACAAAATATCGTGTTCAATACGCGCGCTCGAACTCCGGTCATTTATTTTACGTCATTCGATATTTGTTTAATTCAAACTACGCGGTGCATGTTATCCATAATCGTATCACGTAATAATAATAACGACAATAATGATAATAATAATACTAGCGTATGATACGCCGCGATTAAAGTAGACAGTTCGGCGCGATTTATTATTTTCTCGAGGGGGGCCCAATATTTCGATATTTTCGAATCGGGGCGCTGTTTTTCTACCGATCGCGCGTAATCCGCGAACGCCCGTCGCACTATTTCCTCTCACCACCCTCCCCCCTCTTTTTTTTTTTGTTTTATCCCGAAAGAAATTTTGGTTGACGTTTTTTGGAAATTTTCTAATTTAAAAAAAAAAAAAAAAAAAAACACACACACACATTCTTCGTACGGGGCAATCTAAATTAATGACACAGCTCCGCGTACAAAAACCGCGGAGAATACATTGGAAACCGAACGTGTCCGGGGGTCGAAATTTGCAATATCCGTCGGCGATAATAAAGTTACGGCTAAACGTGCAGTCTCGTCGGTTTCCGTCGGACGCGTAGGTATAATGTAGCGAATGGTTGATCGAGTAGCTGGGGCGGCTATATATTATTGTAATATTTATACGCGACACAGATATTATACACTCCGCTTTGTAATACACTCTCGCCGTATCATGTGGCCGGCACCGCGAAATTATAGAGGGGGGGGAAAAAGAAGAAAATTCCGGAAAAAAACCCGACGTGTTTTCCGCGATAACGAGCGCGTCTTGTCCCGGAAGATTGATCACTCTGTATACGCGTACGTATGCGCCTGCTGTTAAAGCGGATTATACACCGGCGGCGGCGGCGGCGGCGGCAGTCAGTGGTGCCAATAGCGCGGACGCGCGTGAACCCGCGTTGTTGTTTTCGTTCTTTACGTTTCGTCTCGTTTTTTTTTTTTTTTAATTTTTTTTTCGTACCGTTTATTATTATTATTGCCGTCGTCACTTCGTGGTGTCTGTACGTCGTCGTCGTCGACCGCCTATATACGTAATAATCTCGGTGATAATAATTTACGACAAATGCACAATATACGTTCATTTTTTCTTTTCTCAATAATAATACCGCGGTATTTTCGTCGCTCTATGGACCGATAATATTTTCGTCCGAAACGCCGCCGCCGCCGGTCACCTATCCCCGCGCGTGTGTTTACTCGACTCGGAATCGCCGCTCGCCGTGTGTTACCGGTGTATAATTTTTCAATTTTTTTTTTTTTTTTCTAAAGCGAAATTCGTTTTTCTCCGAGTTCTGCCGCGGTCCACGCGTCCCGGTAGAGAGAGAGAGAGAGAGAGAGAGAGAGAAACGAAAACGTACTCCGACGACGACCTAAAGTCCGCGGAATAATAATTTTTGCTAGTTTATCGTTGACGTTTCGGTTCGAACGCGCGTAACGTTCGTTTATAAATCGCGTTTGACTCATTTGTTCGCGCGATCGGTTTTTCACCGTTCGGTAAACGGTTTTGAACGTCCAAAATGGCCACACCGAGGTCCGCCGACGTAATTGCACGTCCGTCATTAGCCGCTGATATCAATCGAACAAAGACCGCGTAATAATATCATTGTTACGATACCCCGGGATCCAGTATGGTAATCATCGTTTTGTATTTTTAGATTTCTCGGTTTATCTCTCGCGAATCCGTGATTATTATTGTTTGGTTAAGACTCCGGTCGTGACAAAAAGTCAAAGCGGATTTTATTTGAAACCGGTCTCGCGTACACCTGATGAGTACTATCGTATTTTTTATGGCGAATACGATTTATTCGATTTCGGTGGGTACCTAAATCGTGCGAATCTCGCGACTCAATCGTCGAGCCACCGAATCGCTTTCGGTTCTCATTTCTTACCGAGAAAAAAAAAACTATTACTAATAGTACTGTTGCCGTAATCGAAAATGTCGCCAAAAACAATAGGTACTATCGTCACTGTCGTGTCAAAAAAATTTACAATTCGGTTTGCACGTGATGAATGGGACCCCGCGTTGATATTTAAGTGAATACGTGTTGCGAAATCGAGTTTTTGGATCTAAGGAGTTTCATTATTTTTGGTCGCGGCGATTCGCGATTATTTCAAAATGTCAATATTTCGTAAAAACGGCCGAACAAAAATACAAAGGCCACTGTCATAATGTAGGTAAACTACAGCTGTTTCGCGTGACAATTTCCCTCCCCCCCTTGTTTTATTAATTAAAAAATACTGCGCGCAGCCCTCGAATACACATTGAATTATTGTTGCCGTTATTCGCGTTCAAATCCTTAATATTTTCAACCCGACAGCCGGAATATCTCGGTCGGAGTCGCGCGATTTCGCTGTGCCGGCGCAAGTTTCGTAAGACCGCGGGTATGACGTTTTCGGAAAAATATTTTATTATAAATTCGCCATGGTACGCTCGTTTTCATCGTATTCGGTGATATTGAAATGCGCGGTGTATGAATAATAGTGTACGAGTACATGGTATACGGTCCGCACGTACACCCGGACGTTAAAAATAAAATATCCGCGTAACCGTTTATTAATATTGTTGAAAACGATTCGAGTACAAAATAATACAGGGTGTCCCGCGATGAAGACCTGATCGTATCGCATATCGTACCTGTACGATACGTACTCGTCCTCGGAAAATTTCGGCCATTTTTCGACAATTTAGGAAACGATAGTTATAGTTCGACGACGTTACTTTTTATTCTGTGTCGCCGGTATTCTTTTCTTTTTTTTTTTGGTGGGGGGGGGGGCTAAATCGACTATTCCTGCTTTTGATTTTCGGTACGGCGACTTATATTAAAAATTCTACAAACAGACGGAGTGTCAGTTGAAATAAATTTTAGTGTTGACGTTTTTGATTCCCGAGAGTGGCGCAGCGTCGTTTATGCGGCGAATGTTTGAATAGTGTTTCGTCTCTCTACCTCTCCCCCCCCACGCGTACTTAAAAGCGGAATATCTCGCCGACGGGATGACGAAAATCAAAAACGTCGACATAAAAATGTATTAAAATAATAATAATCATATTCCGTCTGTTTTACGGAATTTCCAATGTGGGTTGCCGTTCAAAAAACAAACGCATCTATACACTGCGGTCGGTTCGCCTCTCCCTCTCCCCCTCCAAAAAAAAAAAAATAAATAAAATAGGAGCGTCGATAAAACAAAGATAACGAAAAATTCCCGAGTTATGTACTCGTTTGTTGAATAATTTTAAAACCAATACTTTCCGAGACGTCGCAACGATCGTATATGTTCGCGGGGGCACTCTGTATACGAATTGATAATAATATTTATTTGTCTAAATAAAGTCGAGTTTAACGACTATTTATAATAATATTATAATACGCAACGTTATCGAAATAATTGTGTTATTTTGTTTCGAACGGGCGTATGAAGAAAAAAAAAAAAAATAATACAAATATTACAAAACGTTCGCCGATCAAATATTAACTCGGCGATATTGAAAACGTAACGAGCGTCGTATCATTATTTCGTTTTACGTGCACATTACTAGACAACGGGTTCTAATAATAATACTATCCGTACGACGTTCGTTTGATCGTGCGATGTTCCCGGTCATCACGAGGATTTACACGGCGCGATTTTAGCGGTCGTATTGAACAATTTGAGGGCGCTGAAAAAAGAAATGGTTATCCTTAATAATCCGTACATCCGTATTTAGAGGACGTTATCTAATCGCGTCTAGTGTCTCTCAGTCCACGCGAAAACGGCGTTTACGCAGAATAAGTAAAACCAGCTTGATTTTGATTGTTAGAGGGAAAATACCGTTTATGAAATTTACACAATAGACAACGGTGTTTCGGAGAGATAATGTCACAGGTGTTTTTCCAATTATGAACCGCTAAAAATGTTACAGTTATATAAAAAAGACAATAAAAAAATTTAAATAAGAGTTTTTGTTTATTCTATAATATCGAGCTGTGTATTTCGAATACTACAAAATCCCCTATGACATTACCTCCGAATTAATGTGCTCTATGAATTTCGTAAAAGGTACTTTTACTTTTAAAATGAAAATCAAACTAGTTTTATTTGTTCTGCGTAAGCGTTGTTTTTGCACGTTACCCGGTAATTGGACTGGGACAGTAGATGCGGGTATAACGTCCTCGTAAGTCCCGGAGTTAACGAACTGCAGGTATTTTGTATTACGCTGTCGGGGCCTTTACGCGCGATTTGTTTTCCGTGTCCGTCTCGCGCGTAACGTGACAACAGATACGCATCGTACTCCGGCGATTGCGACTCTTCGGTCGACTTTCGGGACCTGTTGTATGCATTTTATAAACGACAATATATTATTTACTGGCTGAATGGGTTTTGTTTTTCGTTTAATATTTTGATTTTTATCACGGAAAAAAACGCGCGTCATAGATAATAATTTAACTCGATTTCTTTTGAGTTTCACCATTACTATTCTATTAACAACAAAACAAAAAAAAAAAAATAAAAATATTATTGACGATTCTATTTGATGATAAACAACGAACTTCGATGTAACGTACGGCAGTTTTTCGTGAGGGCGGGGGGGGGGAAATAAAATCCGTACCGAAAATTATATATTATTCGGTTTTCAATAAAGACACGATGAATCGCCCACTACGGAACAAACAAAAGATATATTTTTTTTAACTCATTAAGACATCATGATTTTCCGCAAACATGTTCGATTATTTAGCGACTGTTAATTATTTTTATTAAAACGTCAATTGGATAATATACGATTAGGTGACGAGACGATCGCAATAATCGGCTGAATTCGCCTTCGAAAAGGCCTTTAAAATCGGTTTCAGAGATAAACTTCGCGCTATCGCAGTCTATGGCTTTTTAAAAACAATTGAACATGTGCGGCGTTTTTTGCAATATTAATCCAAAAAAACTTATAGGTAATGTTTAATAATGGGAATTTACATATTATAACTTCGACAACAAGTTGACAGTCAAATATTTATTCAATCAGCTAATTGTTAAACGCCGCGGTCTTTAAAAGAATTCCGTCACGAACATATTGTATGATATACGCATTTTATCTCTGAAACTGATTTTAAAGGCATTTTTTTTTTTTTTCATATTCGTTAGCTCTTCTTTACTACGTTGCAGAGGGATAACAAATGCGACCGTCACGGTTCCCCGGCAATATGTCTTCGACGCCGTGAACTTATATAATACATCTATAATATTGTTTATAACAGTATAATAATGTAATGTGTATATTACATGTAGTTTTGGATAAAAAAATTAATGTTATTTACGAATTACGATGAATTTGCTGTATCGTGCGGTTATATTGTTTACTCAGAATCGCGTTTGATTATGCATTTCAAAATTGCAAGCATTAATGTTTTGTTTTGGTTTTATGTAACCGGACCTGTTTTTTCTATTCTAAACAAACGATGTGTTTTTATCGCGAAATCCGTATTATATTACAACTAAAAGTCGGCTAAAAAATCAATCGGTAAGCATAATAATATGATCAACATAATAATCTGTTTTCATCGGATAGGTATTGTAATTTTCGCCCGAAAACCCTACTCTTCGCATCTCACGCAATTATTATTCATATATTTAATATATATGTATATAATATTACTTAGAGTTAAAACATTTTTATTTGTATGAATTTGTTAATTTAATTTGTATGAAGATTTGTATTTATTAAAACATTTTTGTAAATTACCGTATGTTAATCCGTCAAAGGAGATTGGTGTCTGTGTGTAGTATTTTAGTCGATTTAGACCTAAAAGCTGTAGCTAGGGATTGTGTTTGGCGGATTTCAATTTTTAGGACGGATTAATATGATTCTTTAGGGAATGTAATCTAATTATTTTACTGGAAATCGTGTAGTAGATTTGATTGGATTTTTGAAAAATTGTACTTAAAAGTTTTTTAAGTTTTATAGGTAATTATAATAAAGAAAATTAAAATTAAAAAAAAAAAAAAAAAAAATACCTCCTATATATTCAAATAAGTAGTAGAACCTAAATAATTATAATATATGTTTACAAAACTGAAACCCGTCAAATGAAATTTCCACACATTTTTGTCCAAAAAGTTTCAAAACGTTAAATTCGTCCTTAAGAACGATCGTGTTATTTTCCTTTAAATAGAAGTTTAAACAGTAAGTTAGTATGAAAATCTTATCGTTCATGTGATTGTTGGAGTGTACATTTTTGTTTTTCGAATTTAACAAAATTGGAGAACAACTGGAAAACCGCCGCTCTATCCCCTTAATTCATATTATTTAATTTCAAAAGTAACAGAGTATTCAAATTTGATTAACTTTGAAAACTTCTGATGGTTTCACGATTTATAATTGTAGAAATTGTAGGGAACTTGAAATTGATTTGTTTACAAATTGACTTAATTGCATCGCATAGGTCAACGTTTCTCAACCCAAAATTGGGTCACGAAAAAAATGAAATTTTAATATATTTCCGTTTAGATATTATCTATATGAAATAGTTTCGAAAATAACATTTTTTTTAACAAATATGGATGAATTTATCATTTTGGACTTTGGTCTTCAAAAGCTATAAATGTACTTTATCGGTTGACATTCACGGTAACGAATACATTTGATAAGTTGTTGACCCGCATTTTCCTGGTATCAATTATCGATATTGTGAACTTCACCAGATGATCTCGTATCATTTGTGTGCTCGCATTTATTACATTAAACATAATTAAAGAAGTAATAGTTTGTTTTAGTAACCGAACAAATAAATGAGTCCCCCCTCATCGAACGTTATTTTCACAATAGGTCGCATAAATATCTTGGCCCTTGGATCGTCAGCACGCTTAAAGGTCAAGACCCGCCGGGTCTATATGGACGTCAAATAATCGGTTTAAATGGCTCTGACGGTTTGTTAACAATAGCTCGTCTGTCTTCAAATCCGCCAGTTCAAGTCGTACCATGTTTTTTGATAGACATAATAATAATATTATTAGGAACGCTTACGAAAAATAAATTATTGACCCGGTCGCTATACCTATGTTTGTTGCAATTCGCTTGGACGTTATTATAAACACAAATGCGTATATAATGTTCGTCAGGCAGCCTCGTAGTAAAGACTTTTGTATTTTTTTTTTTTTTTTTTAATCCTAATATACAATTTTGTTTACTTATGATAAATTCCAAATTCGTACCGTCGAGACTTTTTCCTACATATAGGAATGGTCGTGACGGGTACTCGCGTATATATAATATAATGAACGAGCGGTTATTTTTCAAAAACATTATTTATAAATGGGATTTTGAAAAAAGAAGGGGGGAAAAAACAGTAATAATAAATAACTCCGACAATATATAAATCTTTAGTTACTGACCAAACGGCGACGGAGAATTGAATTGAAATCGACGTTTTTGCAATCAAATACTATAATATATATATATATATATATATTGAACAACGACAAAAACCTCTTTTTTTTTTTCCGATTCGAACCGTTTAAATCCGCGAAATAGATTAAACCCGAAGTACTGTAATAATACGTGTCGCGTTTAAAATCCACACAAATATAAAATCCGTAATGTAATTTTACTTATATACATTACTAATTTATATTTATATTTGCAGCAACAACGGATGCGATGCATTTACGTTCGAACAATCGAATATCATCACATATGCACTTCGGTTAAGTATATAATACGAATACACGCGACAATAACGTATTATAATAATAATTGATGTTATAAACATTCATTTTTTTTTTTTTTCATTCTATTGTACATACCTACCTACTCGTAAGTATTTTTTGAACGTTATTATAACGAGTGTTTTATGCAAACCGTTTCTTTTCAGTATGAATATATTACTAATTTTTTTTTTTCCGACCGGTAAATACTCTGTATACAGAAATAATGTTTTTAACCTTGTCAAATCTACGACTTGAAAAAAAAACAACAAACGGACATACTTCGCACGACGGGTGGGCCACTGTTGTAGGTGAAAAGTTTGGGAAGGTATAGGAGGTAAATTCAATGTATATCAGATGTACACTAAGATTAATAATTGCTAACGAAAAACGATTCTGAGCTGAGTTCGGTTATAGTATAAATGTTTTGAAAGGCCGCAATATTTACGGTTCGAAAATAATACATTTCGTAAATTTGCCCGTTTTTCCTACGTTGTTTTCTCGGTTTTTACCATTTATTATGAAACTTTCTGGGTAAATCAAAACATTTGTTCACAGAAAATAATAATAAAATAAACATTGTAAAAACCAATACATTACTCGCTCTGCACAGAATCTAAAATAAACCTAAATTCATTTTCATTTTTTTCTTTTTTACATTAAAATTATGTTAAATTATTCGTTCTTTTTATATCAATTAAAACGTTGCGTTGTTTAACTTGGTGGCAATACCATTTTAATTATGTGATTTTTGTTGAAACAATTATTGTTTTTACAGTTAATGAAAATAAATATAAAAACCAATATTTTTAATTACGAATGCGTTGTTCAGACAAGAATACTAAAATATAATAATAATTACATATTTATTTAGTTATCGTTTTCAAAACAAGAACAACAAAATGGTTTGATTATCCGATAAATGGCTATATTGTCATTATTATTATTCTATCAAATTTCGGTAATTGTGTATGTATCGACGTGTCGTGTTGTGTCGCGTGTCTGTATATACGACGTGTGTTTAGTTGGAAATTGTCCCCAACATTATTTAACGATGTTTTGGGTTAAATATTTTGTCCTGACGATTAGATTTTTGGAGATCAATGGGCGCTATAAAAATACGTACTTGTAAATTAGAATCGAATTTTAATTTTGAAAATATTCATAAATAATATCTTTATAATAATATGTTTCGCGGGAAATTATTATTTTTTATTGTTTTGTTCCCCTCTTTTTGATGGTTCAAACTTCAATGTACATGTTTACTTTGGAAAATAAATTTATTTCGTTTATTACATTAATATTGTTATCTAACATGTTATTAGAATAGCTATAATATTTATTAATAATCGTTTATAAAATATTATAATATCTATGCGTTTTATCAAAAGCACGATTAATAAACCACCGTTCTATTTTATCAGTGATGGCATAATGTTTTTTTTCCATATAAAACATTTCCAGTAAAATTTGATCACGAAGCAGTTGCTTTTGACTTTCAACGGGACCCCTCTCGTGATTTTTATATATCACATCCCCATGTGATATATAAAAATCACGGTTGGTGAATAAACCGTAGATTCTTATTTTGTTTTACCGAACTCGAAAATGCGAGTTTGAAAACCGAATCTAAGAAAAAAAAGCCAATTTTTATATTCATTAAACCGCACTTTTTTGTCTTTTAATCCGCAAGCTGAAATATATAATTTAAAGATAAAATCGCTACATAAATACTTATAGTTTTTGAATTTTTTAACCGAATCAAAGGTGGGGATATAACCCTTAACGTCCCGCGCTCCCCGCATGCCACCGGCTCCATAGGATACCCATTCAAATCGCTACTGCAGTATTTTACTTCACGTATCGCACTTACACAGACATTTCGATATCGAAATTCACTTTATTGTTCCTCGATCGTGTCCTATAGCTACTATCACTCTATACTATATATATTATCATCGTTCGGACCAGACTTTATATAATTATATCGTTAGCTCTAAACAGTATACATTATAATATGATTCGCGTTTACTGAAGTTAATAATAATAATTATAAAATTATATTATTAATAAATGTATAGAATTGTCGGGAGCGCCGCTGTGTGGTAATAATAGTGTACCATTATCAATGTATATACAGTGGCAGCGCGTAGTATGACGCATCGCGATGATGAATTTTGTGGGTGTTCACTGTTCCTGTATATTATTATTGTAGGTACACATATTATAGTTTATAAACGGCGTTATTGTGGTGCACTAAAAACGTACGATAACTTGTATAAATTATTATGGTGAAAATCAAAATCGTTTTATTATCATTATGACTTATAAATACTCATTTATAAGAGTATTAGTGACTAATTTGGTTAAGAGGTCGTTACTACACTATAAACGGTCAATGTATAGCAAAAATGTGTTTACGTAAAACAAACGCAAAGGTCATTGACATAATTTTTTTTAAAAAAAACCCTTGTGTATGTAAGAATATTATACGCATGCAAGATGTAAACGAATGAAGTGGTCGATACACGTGTGGATATCGAGTAGGCATGTTTTAAAGAACGCTATGAAAGAACAAATAAACAAGAGGGTATACCACTTGGTAGACAATTTGAAAAGATGGAAAGATACAGCGGAGAAAAATACGAGACTGGCAGACAGGAATGTCACAATAAATCGGGAATAGGATTGGTAGGGAAATATTAAAACTGGAGAGGTTTATTAGTGATAGCGCAAGTCCTGTTGTTTTTGTCTTCGGCGTTGTTGAAATATTAATTATTAAAAAGCCGGACGTATACTTTGCACTATATATGATAGGCATTAATCCTATCACTGTATGAGAAGGGAAGTTTGAAAGGTATAGGATAATAGCATAATTTAATTTATATACTAAAAGCAACGATGCATTATTGCAATCAAACAATGATTTTGAGTGAATTAGAAGTATTAGTCACGGTCTTTTCCCCCTGCAGGCCGGAAAAAACACAAATAAAACCTATATATGTATCGATATTTATTTTTAGTTTTTTAAACTGCATGGACAAAATGTCGGAAACATAAAAATTGTTTTTTAATAAACTACCACCGGGCAAAAAGCTTTTAAGATACGATACGAATAATTTCGGTGTTCGATATCGGGCTTTTGAAACTACGTTTTAAACTTGATAATATTTTGTTTTCACTATTCAATTTTTGCGAACAAACACTCGGTAAAATTGTATTATTCTAATGTATTATGTACATTGTTGCAGATACGATTTATCTATTTACAAAACGTAACTTGCGTCTATTCTAGCTATGACATTTTATAGTTTTAAATCACGATTTAAGGTACTTTGGTTGCCCAATCAACCGTCAAACACTTTTACCATCACTGTTTAATGCAACACAAATCTATAAGTCGCCTGAAATTTTAACTCTATAAGCGCGAATATCATCGTTAAAATGATAACTAATTACGTATAACTATGATTATAATATTTGATATCCGAGTAAGATGATAATCATGATCTGTGCTAATAATATAGGTAATGTGTTAATGATGGTAAAAAAAAAATTGAATCCTACGGGTGCTATAGAACCCTAATATTTTATAGCTAGATTAATTTCAATGGTCGTATCTTATCATAGCTCGTTAGAAAACCATACTGTCCTAAATCGCTGTTTTACTCGATATATATTGTTATATTTATTGTATTTTAGTTACAAATAAGTCTAGATGATTAAAAAAAATGTAGACTGTACCTCCCGGACAGTACAATAAATATTGGGATTTTTCTTCATAGACGTTCAAGGTAAAAGTTTAAGTTTATTTATATAAAATTAATAAGGTTTTTTTAAAAAAAAAAAAAATGTAATAGTTTTAATTAGGCGATTTATTTTATCAGCGATCAGAATATAAACTGTATTTTATTTCTGGTTTCCAACCATTATTGCATTCTTGACATACTTCTGTTCAGTTAAGATGTTTTTAAAAACTCATTTGAATAAAACTATAGTTGTCACAGAAATTACTTCACCGAGTAAATGACAACATATATTATGTTTTCCCAGACGGATTTTTCGATGTGTTTGTTAGAAAACCTTGCCAGACAATCTATTCGTACTTGATTTTTTTTTTTCGTTTGTAATCGTTAGATACATATAGAAAACTTTTTAATGGAAATTTAAACAAATACAAATTCCGTGTAAAAACATAGTAAATGTTTGCGTCTTTAATTTGGTGACAAAATTGGGTTAAGTAGGCCAGAGTAGGTATTGTTGGAACTCAGAAAACTCTTTTTTACTTTATATTGCTCGTTATTACTGGAGAGACGGAAAATGTTATTCCGACGTCATTTCATCCGTGTTTTTAATTTTGGTACAATTTTTAGTAATAATTGATAGTATATTTTATTTTATAGGCAAAATTATAGGATTTTAAACATTTATATTTTATAGTAGATATCTTATATTGAATTGACATGTACTATAGATGCAAGGGTCTAAGCCCAGGGGAAAACCATATTCAGGGGGCAGGAGCGATGGCTTTTGGTATATGCAGTTTGTGCGTCTCGTAATAAATTTTATAATTTTATTGAAATAATTTCATTATTTTAAGATTTATAGAAGTAATACCACGGTAGTTTGTATTATTAATGTACAGGGAGCGTTGTTGTTTTAGCGGCTTTTGATAAGAACATTCGTGGGCGATTTTTCTCAGTAACCTACATTGGCCGTCACGAAACCATTTACATTACCATAACTGTAATATAAATCTAAAAATGATTTGAACGTAATTTCACAATACACATTTAAATAAATGGTACCATCACTATAGATTCTAGTCATTTCATGTAATGCCTTGAAAGTGTTAATATTTTCGAACATTGCAGGCCATCGTCAATAACAAGTCCATTACCGGTTACGACTGACATATTATATATCGTTTTCTTACATACACTTTTGATATGTGCCACCATTGAACTCGGGTGAAACGAAAAAACGGTCTCGCATTTAAATTTAGCGTGAAATAGAAACGTTTTTATGTTTTTTCGTTTTTAAAATTCCTAGTATTGTTACGTATGCGCTTTTTAAATGTTTTCAATAAATATATATTTAATATTTAACGATCGGCAGACCGAACGGTGAGAATAATTCAACGAAAATTGACTGCATTATTATTATTATGCATATGACATATCGGCTTATATATATGGTAACAAAGTTAAGTATATAATAACAATGGATAAATTAATAAAATAGATAAATAGATAGATAGATAGATAACACGATTATTAAAAATGTATAATAGATTANATAAGTTAAAAGTTATAATTGCACAACAAGTTCCTCAAGCCATTTCGCTGCGGCCGGGCCACACTCGTGCAGTTTTACCAGCCCATCTTCAAACTTTGTGAACGGGCACGTCTCCACGATGTGCGTGATATTCTGTATCTCACCACATTCACACAGTGGTATTCGGCTTATACACCGACTGCATTATAGTTTATGATATCGTTTAATATTTATAACTAAAATTACAATAAGTATTTAGCATTTTCGTTTTATTATAATATGGGTTACAATTCCGATCTATCACTGTTTATAGTCCCGGGCGTTGAAGTTTAATAGCGGCCTAGTCGAGCTGGAATATGTTTTGCATAATGTATTCGGGCACGATATTTCATTGGACTTGGGGCTCTGCCATGACTGAGCTTTACAGACTTGCTCTCATCCGGTCTAAACTATATAAACTGTTATAACACGTAAACGGTATAGTTGCATGATGTTAGTGTAAAACCGAAATGTCTAGAAAAGTATTCACCGTTTGAATCTGTGATTGAAAGCGAAAAGGCGGGTCGCTATTTAAAAATCCCAAGTGGATACTCGTCGTGGGCACCGAGAGGTTAAAACAATTGAAAATATTGTTAAAATAAAACTTAAACAATTCCGTCTTGACAGAAATCGAATTCACGTAAAACCCGACGAGAAAATGTCTAGTTCGCGATGAAAGAATCGCTCGATGTGTTATCGAAACAACAAAACAGGCACGCTATCGCCTGTCCGTGCGTGATAATCGATAAGAAATACACATAATGTTATCGGTAAATCGATAGAATCGATAAACGTACGGATATTCGTAAACCATTTCCGATCGCACTTCGCCGGACTTCGGAATCTTTGTTATCCCCTTCGACACGGCGACGCGTCATTGTAACACAACGTGATATTTCGCGGGGCATTCGCACACGGTTTTTAGATTTTACACGGATTATTATGACGTAATAATTGTTATGTCACGTGGCGCCGATTGATTTTAAACCCCCGCAGAGTCCGGTCCGAACCGTAAACGCGTACCGCTCCTATTGCCGTCTACACCCGCACGTATGCGCCGCATCGCCACCGGCGCTAACAAACATGTCCGTACGCCGCCGTTACGATATAAATATTGTCGGGTGTCCCGTCCCGGGACACTTCTTGGGAATCGATTCGTTCGGGTGTCCGCGCGGGTCCTCGGACGATAACTCCGAATATCGGGCCGCGCGCGCCGATAAAACGATAGATACGACGGACGCGTTTCTGTTCGGACGACGACGACGACTTATTGACGTTTTGATTTACGACGGCCCGATACCCGGAGGGAGGGGCTGCTCGCGTTAGGTTAGGTTAGGTGTGCGCGCGGCAATGAGGTCCGTGTGTTTTATCGGCTATCGTCGCGCGGAATAATTATACGCGCCGCGTGAAAAACGCCTCCCGGAATACGCGGCGATAACGCGCGCGCGCGCGGTTTTGTACGCGCTCGGAGCCGCCGACCGTTGTTTTCCACGTCGCGATCGGGAATTTGACCGTTGGTGTTTTTTTCGCGTCGTCGGTTAGAAAAAAAAAAAAAAAAACCGGTAGAAAACGGCCGAAATTTCGTCCGCGAAATCTAACCGGTACCCGCACTCCCACCATACCGGGACGCGGCGTTTAGCGGGGGCCACGGGGGTCATGCTCTCCCCTCCACGCACGTCGAACTACCTGCAAATAATAATATCTTTCAGAAATCCGTATCCGAAGTTCGGAGTGTTAATGAATTACAATCACGGCCTCGGTTATGTAGACAGTTGTGCTATCACATTAACCGGTCAGCGGTCGCGTTAGTTAAAAGTATAATTTTTGGACCAAAAGGATATTGCCCCCTCCCCCCCATGCCCCCTAGAAGACGAATCAAATCCGTCACCGCCATGGCATAGGTCCATGATGGACCTGTGTGCGGGTTACGAACCGCTGCTTGGAGTAGCAACTGGAGAAATACGATGCCGAAGACCGACGGCATAATAGTACAATAAAATGAAGGTCGAGAATAATAACGGCCGTTATTTCTTGCGTTTCGATCGTCGTCGGGACAAATTACCGCGCGCGATATGTCACTCGTGTTTATTATTATTTTTGGCTATTGCATTGTATTATTTGCTGTACTTGTACGTTAAGCCTCGCGGAGTCACTCGATAAATAAATTAGCGATGCGACATAAATCCGGATTCTCCGCGTGTATCGCGTACGTAAAAGAATCCTAATTCGATGTTCGAAAATCCGTATTCGGCATAAGTACGGATTTTAAAATCTGGATTCTCGAACTCCGACCATCCGGATTTTTCCCCTCGTTAAAATAAATTGAACGTAATAATAATTCGTTTTTTTCTGTCAAACGATTTATTGCGACAAAAAAGACATTATTTATTACGATGAATACAGTCCACCACCTATTTAAACAAGCTCGAGTTGGCGATGGATGACTACACGCCGAATAAATATTACATAATACTATACCTAATATGTATTACGTTCGATGCGATATATGGGTAATTATTTCGACCCACTCGGAAAGGAATATTTCATCGATAACTATAAATGGCATTAATCAGCATTAATAGATGTAGAGGTATGTGAATCTACAAAAATGTACACACGCGTAATTTTTAGGCGTGCAGTGTATTATCAATGTCTTATGATACAGTCGAAAAAATTAACGAAAACATACTGCGTAAAATACGGATGGTCTTAATGGTTGGTAAAATAACTACAATAGCGATGGGCATTTTCGAATAGATAAACTATTCGATAAACTATCGATAGCTGAACCATCGACTGTTTCGTGGGAATATTTTTTTTTTTTTTACCACGACCGAATAGTTTTGTTCGCGGGCAACTATAAAATATTTCGAAAAACTATTCCAATAGTTTTTAATCTATCGAATAGTTCAAATGCAATCAACTATCGAATATTTCGGTAGTAACTATATTCTGGTGTGGCCTTAATACTAACTGCGCACCGTTTACGATAATATAATATTCCACCTCGTGCATCACACACGTCATGTACGTTTGTTATTCTAACATTTTTCGCAACGTATATAACTATAAACCATATATTATTGTGTTATTTGTGTTTTAGCCATTGTTTTAATGGTATACGAATACGGATTTTTTTTTTTTTAAAAAAAAATTAGTTAAAAAAAAACCATTTGCAAAATACTTTTTTGTGGGAAAAATTTTGAACTAAGTAATAAAATACTGATACGCACGAATATTCGCCACTATATACGATTCTCTTTTCTCATTTGTGATTCTTAAACGCAGCCGTGGTATTTACCATATTATAGTTTAAATATTCATTGGTCGCTTTCCAGGAAATAATAAGGATGTCGGTTTGTTGTTTAAATGCGAAAGAGAAAAAGAAACTTTTAATTTAATTGTTAACATTTTAACGAAGAATTTCGTTTGATGAATACAATACGTACCTATATATACGTTTTTTTATTACCTATGGGAAATTATAGAAACGCTTCAAAGCTCATTTGCCAGGCCACATTATTCCATTTTCGTTTGCTGATAATTTATTTCCATTAATGAATATTTTTAGACGCTATACATACATGCATTTTCTGTATTCGTCTTAAAAATGCGCAACATAGAAAACGTTTATAGCAGTAGTGCTTTTAGTTTTAATATTCGAATGAATTATTTTACCTATTATCGTATTTCAAGGTGAGAATGTTGTTTGCGTGAAAATAATTTGGTTTTTCCGCTAATTAAATTGTCAAGTCAATTTTCAAATTGTGTCGTTTCGCAATGAATTGTGTCTCGCTTAAAAATTTAAATAACAATGCAAAACTTGCATAAAAACAACCAGTTAATGTTTTTCACTTGAAAATGTATATATAATCGGTTAATTGACTCTCAATATTAAAATTAATAGCCCGGAATTTGTTAAAATGATCGCAAATTTTCTACGTCGTACGTTTGTAAAACGAAAACCACCAATGCATGATGCGCATCATGCATTGGTGTAGTAAAAAATACTACTTGAATACGTATTTGTATATGTGAGTACATTATGTGAAACCCGTTTAAGGATTTCAGAATGTTCAAAAGACGGGTTGAGATTGTGTTAAAAGCTTTTAAAGTTTTAATGAGGATTATTTTTTTTTTTTGTTATATTTACAATACATGTTTTTTTTCCTTATTCGATGGAGTTAAACGTTTTAAAATATACAATTTGAATGTATCGTGTCGTGAAAAATTTTGCTGGACAATTTAATTTAAAAAGATGCCTTTGGAAAAATGTATACTGTTATGTGTCTTATTTTAAGAAATTGTATAATTCGATATAAATACCAAACAATGTATAGGCCATTATTAAGTTTATTCGAACGCGATATCTGATAATTTGTAGAAACCATAGGGTTTAACGACTATACCTACACAATAAAAGATAAGTACGTGAGTACACGAATATTTTCGGATCTGGTTGCCAGTTGTTGTTTGACATTTTTTTCACTACATCCAAAACAAAGTCTGGTCACGAAAACCCTCTTATTAAGACAACGACGGTTTAATTGATACACATTTTAGAAATCTCTTTATTCTCATAGTTCGGAATATTATATACTTTTAAGTGCGATTTCATAAAATTGAAACCGGTCACGATTCCGTCAACAAGACGATCTTAAAGTCATAGTAATATCATAATATTACTGTATAGTATAATAATTTAAATCTTCTACAGACCTTTTCAAATTGTTTTATAAAATAATACGCTTGGCTTTTATTCGACTCGACAGTATAAAAAAAACCGTACGTCAATAAAAAATAAAAATAAATAAATAAAAATACATTCATCGATATAATGCATAACTGGAGTTTAAACATCTCGTTATTCGAGAAACTTTTTTTTACTGTTTGAAAAATCAGTAAACGGAACAAACTTTATAAAAAAATCGGTCGAATATATAGGCGATAACATTTATTTTAAATTTAATTGTTCGAGTTTTTAACACGTAAATAGTTTTTCGTTCATTCGTGTTGTGTATGCATGTATAGTTTTATATAGCTGCCGTATACAATATAATTTTAAAATGTTTAATAAAGAACTCGTAAATGCCGAGCACGCGTAACGGCAAATTATGAAATCTCGCGCTTTCAATATTGTTTATTTTTTGTAGTCTTTAAACCGCGGTTGTCCACTTTGGTTTTTCAAATACCGACCGATGAGGTTTTAATTTGAACTTCACATAAATTTCGGCATTGACATTTTTGAACTACGTCAATCCCGTTAACGAGATATTCAACATTTTGGTTTGGGTAGGGGAAGAGAGTATATATAGTGGGACATCATTTGTGTGTGGCAACGGCACGGCGTGCGGCGTTTGTATACGGGTCACGTGAACCATATTCTAATATATTCTCCCCCGAATCTTAAAAGTGAAATATATCGTCGACGGATCGACAGTAATTAGAAATTTCGACACCGAAATATATTTGAACAGGAAACTTCGTCTATTTATGGAATTTTTAATAACGGTTGCTATTCGAAAATCAAAAGCAGACATCGGTTCGGGCTCCGAAAATAAGGGCAACAAAAAATAACGGAAACGAAAACTTTTAGAACGGCTTGTTTCTTAAATTACTTAAAAAAAAAATAAATAAAAAAAAAATTGCGAAAAAAATCAATACTTTCCGAGATAGTAAGTGTCTTGTATCGAGGATTGATGATAGAAAATTGTATTACTTATAAAGTTATAAAGTTTTAGGTCGTATATATATATATATATATATATTAAACCGAACCGTACTTGGCTTAACTTTTATTGAACATCAATACGACTCGCGGTCGTATTTATTTTGTCGGATACTTGAATTATAATTTACCTATATTATTTGTCTACTGCGGACCGCAAACAAAACGTTCAATATTTTTATAGTACCCGTTTCAATTACGTATACCGCCGCAGTATCGTCTACTTGAAAATATATTTTACCGGTGTACAACGACGGGATACGCGGCCAATCTAATTCATATTAAAATATTGTCTTGTCCGCGGAAATATGTAGTCAGTGAAATCTATATTAATATCATGTATAGGTATCTTTTTAGCGTACGACTGTACAGTTACCTATATGGTTATATGGTTGTAATTTTCCAACTATAATACAATAATTTATATTATCGTTTAATTATATACCTTATGTTCTTTAACTCGTATCGGCGACGGCATCGGCGAGGACATTATTGATAAAAACCGAATCTAGTTTCGCCGCATCTCGGCAACAGACTCGCGGAACAAGGAGAGTGATAAAACCGTATTCTTATAGACGCCGCCGGTGCGCCAACGCGGGCGGTGAATTAATGAACACGAGAATATTCGCAACATTTTTATACTCGGAGTGATTTCACTTTTAAGTTTAGGTAGGGGGAGAGTAGTGGAACACTAATGAAACGCCGAGTGTCGTGTCGCCACTGCACAAATGACACTCCGCTACTCTCCCCCTACCTAAACTTGAAAGTGAAATATCTCGTTAACGGAACGACGGAAATCAAAAATCTCGACACCAAAATTAATTTTAAGTAATACTACGTTTGTTTATGGAATTTTTTTACATAGGTTCTCGTTTGAAAAACCAAAGTGGGTATCACCGCAAGTTACTCCTTAAATGTCGTGAAAAATCGAAGTATTTGAAAATATCGGCCTTAAATAAACTTGAAAATTTCAAAAATCATAATTTGAATGTATGCACAATTTAACCAAACAAACGGGGTGAGCACGCTTAGTGAATCATCCTGTATACATATACAATACTATTATATTATTTTTAACGATTGATCATATATTTTTTAATTAACCTGCAGTAACCTCCACGATAGTGTGTGTGTACAGTGGTTTTTTTCGGGGGGGGGGGGCGGTGCTGTTCATTAAGGGACGATACGAATTTGCTGACCGCGGTAAATTGGCAAATTTTTGCACGCTAATGGCGATGGTGTGATGTCAAAAACGTGTACATTTTTATTGATCAATTCATCGCGTAAAAACTAAATCGGTGTAAAAACGGTGATATTCTCGCACGATGATATACTTTTAGTACCAAAAAGTGTATAGTGTACACCTAATATACGATAGACTATAGCGACATAAAACCAAGTCGATCTATAAAACTTGTTTTTACACCGCCATCGTATTATATCGAACATAAAATAAAATAATATTCTCCGTCCAATAAACATATATTATCATATATTATTATGTATTATGTATTAAGTATATGTAAGTATTAACCGAGATCGGGGCCAACTATTTCGTTGTTTACTGCACACATCGTTTCGCAGCGAACCGGTAATTTATGCTTCTAATGTTTAAAACAAAATAAACTATTGGAACAAAGGAAAAAAAAAAAAAAAAAAAAAATTAGGAAGGACAAACTGCAGGGCGCTTAATTCGAATTTTTTATTTTTTGTGTAGAATTTTTATTTCACTTAAGTGACGACAATTAATCGATTGTTAATATATTTAAAAGAGTATCTAAATATTACTCTGACACGTATACCTACGCCAAAAACTATATGGTGGTGTGGGGTGCACAACGGAATACTATAGTATTATTAACGAAGTATTCAATAGTCGATCGCATTCGAACAATTCGATAGATTGAAAACTACACGGTTATTGGGAAAAACTATTCGACGGCTTTTCCAAATAAATGTTAAAAAAATAACACAGTTTATCATCGAATATTCAGAGAGTGGCCACTGAACCTTTTATCAATGAATGCGGACAACGCGGCGCCATATTGTGTAATTTTCGGTCCGAACATATTGTTATCAGCGTGGACTACATTCTAGACCGCGATTATGAGTAAATAATGCACTGTAGCTAATCTCTCTGACTTACTGAATAATAAATAAATACGTTTTTAGTGTATTTAATAAAACGTTTAAAAAACGAAAATTATATTGAACCAGTTGAAGATATTGCTGGCGATTCGAAAACTTCTTGAATGACATCATTAAAATTTGAATCGATAATATTGTTTGGACGAAATTGTATCGTTGATAACGAGGACCAATATGAGAAATGTCTACACACATGTAGTATAAACTATTCGATAACGCCCGTCGCCAGCCCAAACCTGAGTCATATCGCGCGTATAACAACGATTCGAAAATAACTAAGTATAACCTAATAAACTAAAAAATACGTTCTAACGGCCGATGAATTTTGAATTCATTTCGAAACTTATTTTTTTATGTAAACGTTTTAATATTTCAAACCGTTTTCAAAAATAAAGACGCTCGCACTATATAGGTGTATAAAATTTAAACAAGACGACATACTTCACACGATCTGTGGGCCACTGTTATAAGTAAGAAGTTGGGGAAATATAGAGGAATTTAATGTATATCTGTGCGCAACGATTAACTATCGCTAACGAAAAACGATTCACTATTGCTAACGAAAAACGATTCTGAGTTGAGTTCGATTATAATAAACATGTTTTGAAAGGCCGTAATATTTACGGTTTTCGTCAAAATTTGATATTAAAATTCTTGTAACAAAAAAAAAAATTCTACATTACGCTCAAATTTTTTGTTTCGATCACAAAGTACAATTTTTAATGAACCTCCAGTTAAATTTTATCCTAAGAGTACCAATACCGAATATAAATTACGTAAAACACTCGTAAAACTAAAATGTCTATAAATAATTTAAAAATGGTTAAAATGTTTATGAACGTTTACGTCTAGAATAGGCAAATATAAGTTTTCTGTTCTAATTTTAAGCCTCTATAAGAATACTTTCTCAACTGAATGGCGACAAACAAAATTGAAAATAATACGTTTCGTAAATTTATCCGTTTGTTCTAGGTTTTTTTTTCCGTTTACTTATGAAAACCCTTTGGCTAATCAGAAAAAAAAAAAAAATGACCTCGACTCCAACGAGATACCGAAATGATGGTATTATACGAAATCGGTTGACAAATCATTCACCGAACCGTTGTCATAACTATACACGGACATTGGACGTGTATCCACAAAATCCGTCGAATTATTGTTGTGTGACCAACTGACGGTGACGAGCGGTGATTACTCGTCCATCCCCTCCAGAATTATTCTACTCTCGTTAAACCCATTCGGCAACCAGCGTGTTGTGTTATCGCTCTTTTCGCGACCAACGGTGCCAAACGATCGATTCAATCGCTGACATTTCGTTTTAAATGCCCACGTCCCGAGTCCTGAACCTCTTGTTCGATCGGTTTTAAACGAATATTTTCGCCGCCGGTCCGCGATTCTCGGACCGGGGCTGCCTCGTCGCGGCGACAATAGTATCACAATAGACACTTCGTCTAAACCGTGTTTTATCGGCGGCACCGCGTATTATCGTTTGTTATCAACGCACTAATAATGTTGTTATCGTATTATTATTATTATAGACGTGTTGTTGTCGTTCGCAGACCGGAGCACCGCCGTCGTCGGAGGTGGCGGTTCTTCAAACGGCAATATCTGTAGCGTCAACGGCGGCGGCGGCGTCGGCAACTGCATAACCGCGGCGGCCGTGTCGTCGGCCACCGGGTTCGAGATGTATTCGTTTTTCGCGACTACGGCGACCGCCGCCGCCGCCTCGGGCACCGGAACCATTTCGGTGGCGCCCTCGTGTGGCGGCGGCGGCGGCGGCGGCGGTGGTGTCGGCGTCGGCGTTGTCGACAACGAGGCGCCGCCGCCGCCTTCGTCGCATTCTGTCGTCGCGCAGGCGCATTTTACCGGCATCCAGCCGACCGCCGCCGCCGCCGTGGTCGTCACACACCACCAGCAGCAGCAGCAGCAGCACCACCACCACCACCACCACCACCAACGCCACCACCTCGATCAGCAGCAGCAGCAGCAACAACAACAACAACAACAACAACAACAGCAGCAGCAGCAGTCGGTCTCCGCGGCCATCAATTGTTCGGCGGTCCGCGCTATCGCTGCCGCTCCGTCGCCGTCGACGACTATCGGTGCGACAATTTCGTGCTCCGGCTCTGTCGGCCAACTACAACAGACGTCGACCGTTTTCCCCGGCAGAAGTAATAGTTAATTTTTGTTTTTTTTCGTACCTAATTTATCGTTTTTTTTTTTTTTTTTTTTTTTTTTTTTTTTTTTTTTTTTTTTTTTTTTTTTTTTTTGTTTTTTTTTTTTTTTTGTTTTTTTTTTCTGCTTTAAATTTTTTATCGCGAAAACTCGGTTAAATTATCGCCGAAACATAAAATATTACGGATGACGTAAGTACATGATGATTGTACCTATTATTTTGTACGCGACAGAAACGCGGTATAACTTTTGATTATCATTTAAACGCTCCGGAGTGCGATGATAAATAACGATGGTTATAATTTATTTAAAAAAAAAACCGGCCTCCTAGAATCTTGTGTCGTCCGTCGCGGTGTCCGTATATTGCGACGGACGGACAAAATGGCCGACACGGATATTCGTGAGGTGCGCGCCGTCGCCGCCTCTCCACTGCCGCCACCATCGCCACCACCTCCACCGCCACCATCGTCGTCGTCGTCGTCGTCACCACCATCGCCACCATTGTGCGTCACGTTTGCCCCTCGTGCGCGCGCCCTTCTTCGCGAGGTTCCTCTCGAACGCGGTCCGTCGACACGCGCGTAACGGCATTAACCACGCCGCCCGTCGTTATCTTCTCGCCGGGAATCCCACGTAAATCCCACGTCGTTTGCGACGCGCGGCTGTCGTCCGCATTTCCGGGAATTCCCGCGGTGGCGCGTCAACGAACGTTTTCTGGGAGTCGCGGCCGCCCGACGGCCGGGCTGGGGTACACGGTCCGTTATCCCGCAATTCCAGCACGCCGGTATAATGCGCGCGAAACAATCGGACGCATTTTAAAACGGTCGGAAAATAAATGCGCCGTAACGTTGCTGCGCGTGTATCGCCGTGCTCGGGTTGGGTTTCGGTTATTACAGGCGCATTCGAACGAACCGAGCGTGGCGTGCGCACGTACAGACTGCTTAGCAGTGACGTCATTCGGGGGGGAACGGCAGTGGAGGCATTCGCCCTCTTCCTTGTCTTCAGCGGGTCGCGTATGGGCCGGTGTCGGGCGGACCGCGAGTCCGCCAAACATTTATGATTTTACGGCATACGCTCCATACATATTGGCGAAAATAGGACACGAATTCGGATAAAATTCATTTACGTGTACAATAGCGAGTATAAAAAATAACGTAAGAATTCGATGTACGCCTATTTGTATTGGGATTTGAGTTTGCATTGTGACGAATAAAGTCGGGGAACGGTTGTTTTTTTTTTTTCAGTTTTATTATGGGCCGATAAAAACTGTCCCCTCTCGAAAACCGAAATGACTCCACTGCTCCTTAGGTAAACGCATAGCAGTTCGACGCGCCGCCGGGCAAAATATTGTTACGTTTTTAAATTGAAAACGTGTTTTTCTCATGTAGAAAAAAAAAAGCAATTTTTCTGGTTTTTCCCGGTACTCTTCGCACGACATAGACCCCCGAAAGAGTATTGACCGATACCGGTGGCGCGTTTAAGGGGGGAAATCGGGGGAGATTTAACTCCCCATTGACTTATCTTTTACGTCTATTGTTTATGTGCCACGTACTTTTGTAATCAAATTCTTTACTTTTCAATCGAAAAAAACGAATACAAGCGGGTACCCATAATAGTGAATGTTCTACGAAAAAACATTGCCGAACGTATAAATTTTCTTGTTTAAAATGAATAACCTATCCGGACCGTCACATTAACACGAATACTGAACAAACTAGTACATAGTTTTTTTTTTTTTTTAGCCTAATAATTTTATAACACGTTGCACTGCAGCATGAAATTACAATTTTCAAATTCAATATCTGCCTCCTTGACGTAAATCCCAAATGCGCCACCGATCGATACGATTTTACAGAGTACAAGTATGTTTGGATACGAATCACTGCGGGCGAAAATTATTTCCTCTTCGCTCCAAAAACCGGTAGCTGTGTTGTTTGCTATCTACACGAGCGATTTTATCTACTGTTGCGTTAATATCGCAGTGCCACGCGCGATAATATCTGCCAATATTATTCTATAGTAATCTATATAGATAGTATACTATCTATAGTAATAATAATAAATAATTTCGAAATAATGATATCGATAATAATAATAATAATAATAATCTGTTGATGGATTCAAGGCGCACTAAATATAATCGGTAAATTATTTTAGATTTATTTTTATAGCCGGTCCTTGACTCATTAAAACTATTGGAGTTAACACACTTGTGTTTTTACTCGTATTTATACTGTTTAGCGGTTAGTTTTTGTGCATTTTCGTAAAATGAATACTTCGGTGGTGTATGTAAGCATATTTTTATAACGGCGATAAACGTGCTAATTTGTTTTCACCAAAGAGGCGCGCTACCGACACGGCAGTATTGCGAAAAAGTGGATTCTAATATAACGAGGTACGCGGTTCTTTATAAATCATAAAACAAACAATTTTTTTTTTGGTAAAATATCAATGGATTTAAAACTGTAGGCGTGGTTTATCATGTAGATATTAATATATGCGTATGGCAACTAAAAAGTTTGCGTAGATAGCATATACAGCAACTCGAAACCCGTCGAATAAACGCATAGTAGACACTTGGTGGGTTACTGTGGGCGGGGAAACGGACAATTCTGCCGGGAATGTTTATTATCAAGGCGAAAGACGATTTAATTACAACAGAAAGCAACTTTTTCAACAAAAAATATTGTGTCTTTATCTAAATATAAACACTTTTACGTTTATTCAATTATAAGTTCATCGGCCCGAAATAATTCAAACAGTTTTCCGTCGGCTCTATACCCAGAAACACACCGCAGTAAGTAGACATTTTGACCGTTTCCGTGTCTGCCGCATTTGTTCGCGGTCCTCCTTTAAAATTTGTTAAAAACCGACTTGCGAAGTTTCGCCGGGCAGCCGAAAAACGCATTGGATTGTGTACTCGGATAGCCGTACCCGCGGTCTAAAATCCACCGACGACGACGTGTTGTAGAGAGAAACGAGACGAGCTTAATATACAGTACAGTGCACCGGAAATGTCTACGAACCACAATTAAATCAATCGACTACGATATGGTCTACGGTTTAAAAAGCCGCGAGAAAAAGAAAAAACAAAAAAACTATCGATTATCGTATTCTGAATCGCATAGCATCGCGGCAATCGGTAATATAGTGATTTTTGGTCAATGATATTCGTTCCGTCGGTCCGGACGAACGTATTTCTTACCGTACGGCTGTATTTTAGATTTCGAGCCTTTCGAACGGTTCGCCCGCGATGCGGGAACGCCACTGCCGTGGTGCCGCGGTTGGGCCGGTCCGCGCTGCGTACACACGCTTCGTCACCGCCGCCGCCGTCGGTTAATAATAAACGCCACTGCCAGATTCTCTTCTAATTTAGGAGGGTCCTCCCCGACGTCGCCGTGCACACTCGCGCGGCCGTATGAAAAATCAATAGCCGTCCTTGAATTTAAAAAGCGAACACGGCGAAAATCGAGGTTATATCGACCCCGCGCAGCGTTCTTGTTGCGGTACACGATATTGTGCGACGCGGCAGAAGGTCAAATCTTTTCACCTACGAGATTTCGATTACGGGACCGACGTTAATCGCGCAGTGTGTAGATAATGTTGTTGTTATTATTATTATTATTATTATTATTATTAATAATTGATATTTGACTGTAAAATTCCTCCGTTGCCGACTCGCCTCGGACACGCCCGAAAAGTTTTTCCATCGAATTTCCCTCGAGTACAAAAAAAAAAAAAAAAAAAAAAAAAAACCCCGCCTGTCGTATATACATAAATGACGTCGACGCGAGATTATTCCAAAGTCGGGCAGTAACTAGTTAAAAAGTTAAAAGTTACTTTTAACTTAACTATAGCTGAAAAAAAAAAAATACCCCAGAAAATATAAAATAATACTCGGTTGTTGTTTAGTTCGAATTGAGATTATTTACGAAGTTTCCGTAAACAAACACTGTGCACCTATATGTGTTTCGCGTTTATTTCTCGACGAGAATGACATATTTTTACGTGAATACCATTATAACAACAATAAGGTGGTCTGCAATACGCGGTCTATTCGCGCGGGGATATGGGATACCCACACGGGTCTTAAACACATCACAGCTAGGTCTATAAAAGTCTAAATACCAGAGTACAAAATACGTTTCTGAGTGTCCATTAGGGTGATTTTAAAGAGTTTAAATTTTTTTTGAAAACCCGTAAATTGACTTAATCACCCAAATTCGTTTGTATTTTAAAATTAACGTTAACTACTCTCGGTGTTTTTCCCTTGTATGATAACCTTACTTAAACTATATATAGTTAAAAAAAAATTGGTTGAATTGAAGATCTTCGGATTATTCCATAATCTTTGTACACTATTGGCAAAACGGTTGTAAATAATAGTCGTTTACTTTCAATTTCGATAATTTCGCTTTAATCACACGTTTGATTAAATTATCGATGCGTACGGTGTCGCGTTTTTCGCATTTTCGGATCATTCAACCAAATAATAATGATGGCATAAAATAACAGAAACGGTTATTTTTCACAGGATATTTCAATGTAGCGATCACAGACTGCTATTGCCATTGCCATTTAGTGCTATTTTACATACGCGTTATCACATCACATCTGCTACTCCGCCAGTATGAAAATGGTAATTTTTTAGTATCAGTAGCAACTGTTACTATTACTACAAACAAATCGCAGTTAGCCGACTCTACCGAATAATTAATAATTTTTTGGAAATCGAACGATCTTTTTTTGTACAGAGCTCTTGTTAATATTACCGTTGCTGGCCGGCACGTGTTTTCAATTATTATTTTATTTAGACGTTCTATTCGAACGTAAACAAGCCAGTTAACAATCGTTTCGAAACGTAATTATAATCATTAAGAGGACCCGTATATACCCTGTCTAATTAGGTATCTAGCTTAAGTATTTCACTTGTGGCGTCGGGGTCATAATAATAAATTGTTGCGTGGAGAGTTTTAGAGAGAAAAATAACGTTATACTTCGAGAAAAATTCGGTTTAAAATTAGAAATACTTCACCGTAAATACGAAAATATAAAAAAAAAAAAAAAAATTCCATTTGTGGTATATGGATGCTGCTTCTTTACACGTGAAATTGAAAATGTCGTGCCGGAGACCGTGTAATCCGGAATCCGCGTAAATTCACATTCACGAATACAATTCATGTAAATGCACGTGAATTCACGTGTCACGTGCAATACGCGAATAACCCAAAATAATTATCACGGATACACGGGCGCGATAAAACACGCGTTTCCAATTGAAACCTCTAGCGTAACGTTTATTTGCCCATTTCAGTTTTCACATTATCACATTGTGACAATATAATATACAGGCGTTTAAACCAGACGCCACATTGGAATAACGTGTTTGTGTAGCCTGATGCTCGTGGGTTTCCGATGTGTTCGGACGAATTATCGAACGTTTCGCGGTCGAAAATTTTCGCCCCGCGACCGAATTCGGAAAAATCATCCGAACAGTTTGAATGCGATTAGCTACCGCGCATGGGTTCAACCGCTTGGTCGTGCCCGTCATCGCTGCCCCCCGTGCCGGACGTCGTAAATCCGCGTTGCATATTTTCTTTTCGACTATGTAACGATCATAGGCGTGTTTACTCGACGTCATTATAAATGGATTATCCAATCGATAACATAATAAAGGTGTATAAATTCGTTGTAATTACGTATAAATTGGAGCGAGCGCGACTAATAATAACATAATCGCGATTTCCTCGGTCGTACGTGTTTTTCGAATGGAGTGATTGGAGGGAGTCGGACGTCCAATATAAAACTTGTCGAAATGCGGTAACGGGAAAATAAACCCTTCGATAATATCCTGTGAATGGATTTTTGTTTTATTACCGTGCGAGCGTATTATGACGTTTCGCGGTTGTTTCTTCGTCGCGATAACAATACGCGCGTGCATACCTACAAGTAAGTATTTTTTTCGCTGTGAGATTACGACGAGTCTAAAAAAAAAAAAAAAAAAACATAACGAAAAAAAACTTTGAGGCTCCACGCGCGATGCGTTGATTACCTGGTGTACGCAAACAATAATAAATATAACGTTTATCGCGTCGGCTGGTTTACGCATTGAAATCTCGAAAGCCGTATATTTTATTATCATTTTTAATATACAGGAGGTGCCTGCGTTTTCGCGTCGGTTGTTACCACGATTTTTTACCCGTATTATTTAACCGCGCGAATGGTGAATATTATGCGTATATTGTATATTATTACCTCGACGCCGATAAGTGATTGATAAGTAACAACAACAATACACGCAGATTTTATCGTTATAAAACGGATAAATGGCCGACTCTATTTGGGTAAATCTGCTGAAGCCCGACAGCTACATAACGTGCCGACGACGGGGAAAATTCGATCGATTAACCCGTAAACTAATACTCGTTCGCGCCACGCATTACGCGATAAATACAATACGTAACACTACGTTGAAAACCGTGTTTGAAACTCATCGCGAATTGTCTCTGTATTACCCCGCGATTCATAGCACGAATTCACGGAAAAAAAAAAAAAATATTCAATGGGTTGTACGACATAATTATTTCTAGTTTTAGTTTAGTATATTTGAGCTGCCGACGTCTGCGATTAAAGTGGTCGGTAGCGGATTCTCCCCTCTTATTTACGGTAAACGTATTCGTCCCCTTTAGTTTAAGTCTTCGAAGCCCGGGACAGGTGCGGACGCTTTTGTTTTTGTTACTGAGAGTTTTTTTTTATTTTTTTTAATGACATTTTTAAAGCTCACACGGGTTTTATCAAAAACAAATTCTTTAATATTGGTTTATACCTTTCTCTCTATTTTTCCCCAGTTGAGAATAATATTTTGGGGTCGGAGTTTATTTTAAAACCCCGATATTAGCATAATATATTTGCGGACACACTTTTGCGGCGGAAAACATTTTGGAAGTCTTGACTCCGTGAGTTGCCCGAAAGTTCGATTGGATTTAGTCAATTCTCGGTACGGCCCCTCAATTTTCGGTGAATATAAGTCTCCCCTAGAAGTTTTTTCCAATATAGTCACTGGCTGACTTGCAATAAAAATAAAAACAATAGTATTTTCGATTTGTTCACGTACATAATAATATTATATATAGGTATACTTAGAGAGGCTATGATTAGAGAGTATACCCACTGGTTACCGGACTTTTTATCAATCCATACGAACGACGACACGTTATACGACTTTTCGGCCAAACATTGTTATCAGCATTGACTAAATTTTAGTCCACTATTATCAGTAATTAATCTTTGTAAAGTATATATAATAGTATATTTAAATGTTTCAAACGTAGTGTAGTGAGTTACAACTCAAGGTTCATGATAATTTGAAGAAAAAAAACGAACGCAACTAAGCAAATAGTGTAACGTATTTTATGTATATGTAAATAATATTGGAAAAACTTTTAGAATAATATTAAAATATGAACTGATAACATTGTTTGGAAGAAATTTGATCATTAGTGTCGGAAATCAACCAGAAATTTCGACACTGATAGCCTGATGTTCTCTGATTATGCTCTGTATTATACCGCAACATAATTGTACATTTTACATTAAAAACCTACTTAATCGATTCCAATCATGCGTATCGTATATACTTGATAAAATATCAACCGAGAATTTATTTTTACAAAATAACTTACAACCCGTCGTGAGTCTACGGTAGACTATATTGCCGGATGCATGTTACGTGTACAATATTATATTATTGTTTCGAAAACCTTTTATTTTTATAATTTTTTTTTTTTTTTTTAGTATAATTCACTAAAAACAATACCGTCCGATGTTTTGCTGAATAATGTTTGATTTCGTTATACTTGCGGTGCCTTTATATTATTGATAATTATTGTACATATATTTTGTTTACATAATCTAAACGAAACCTAATCTCCCTGTGTATCTATATTTTATTTTTAGTCGACTACATTATATTAAAATACAGTATTTTTTTCAATTGATAATTACGTGAAATTAAATCCATTAATTTCGAATTGCATTTTATCTACAATAATTTTCATAGTCTTACTGTAAATGACTGTCTATAACATTCTACGTTTAGTTTTTATTTTTATTCTATTCGAGAACATTCGTTTTTTTATTTCCACATAGAATATACAATTATTATTTGTTTGTATTCATTATTTTTATCTTCTATAGACCAAGACAAATTATTATTATTGTCAACGCGGTATTACATTATTCATTTTGCTATGGAAATTATTATTCACATCTATCGGATCTAAGAAAAAATTAAATTGTAAATACGACCAAGGTCATATAACCGTATGTATTATGATGAAGTATAGGTTTTTTTAAATTTGTATATCTCGAAATTCGGCGTTAAATAATCATTAGTTTGAAATAGTATGTTCTCTTCGTTGTTTGTACACCTTTAAAAGTTCTGTTAATCAATTTTTTATTTTTTTTTTTTTGATCTGTATTACTATAGTTAAAGGATCACAGATTTAGATAGATATCAGTGGCATGCATAGGGGGAGTGAGGTTGGGGGTCATATCTTCCCCTCATTGGTGTTTTAATACAACAACTATAAGAGTATTTATCGAAGTATTTATTTACTAATTTAAATTTTGAAATGTATGTATTTTATATGAATATTTCAGTGAAGAAAGAATAATTTCTTAATTAAAAATTAATAAAAGGTTAACTAACAATAGATACGTATGAGTTTATTCCGATTAAATGATTTATTTTATAACTGAACGGTTTATTATAAGTGAATTTCTCTAACGTTAAGTTAAACCAATCGTTTACTTAATCGTACGTATTATACATTCTTTACAATAAAACAAGAAATATTTTATAAGATATGTATACGAATAGTATATTAGTTTTAAAAAAGGTGTCTACAAGGAATGCAAGACAATTTCCCTTCTCCTCCCCGTTTTTAAATAAAACTATATATCGTTGTATAATTTTGTTTTAATACACAATAAAATAAAACAGAATTAATTATAAAATATGTCCATAAATACAATTCAGTGGCATGGAGCATGAATGTCGAAAAAAATTATTTGAAAATTGGAAGTTGAAGACATTTCAAAAATCTAACGTTAAGTCCATAATTATCGGTATATTATTATTTTTTTTTTTTTTTTTTTGACATTGACCTTCTTGCACCATGCTACCGAATTATAAATGTCAGTAATGTTTAAAACAAGTATTATAATGTTCACAGTATATTTCACAAAAACCCATTGCAATTATAATACTGTATTAGGCACTATTTAAATATAAAATTATGCCCAAAAACCCAATTACTAAGAATGTGGTTAGGTATCTGAATAATAACATTATTATACAGTAGTCGTACAACACATTTTTTATTTTATTTGTTTTGAACATAATTTATTATCGTATTAGTACTTTTAATTGTACCAAATAGACAACGTAATTATAACCGACGTTAAAATATTCACGTATAATATTATAAATGTTTGAAAAAAGAGGAGGGGGGTAATTTCCTTGCTATATACTGAAAAAAAAAACCCGGAGAGAAAATGTGAGGGGGTGTCCATTTAACACAAAAAAAAATAATAATCTCCCATGGTGTGAAAGCGGTTGAATACCTACATGGGTGTAGGATAACATTTTAAATGTCGAACCGTCAACGGTGGTACGGATGCCCATAATATATACGTAAAGAGACGCGCGTAATGAAATAATATAAATTTCAAAGACTGTGCATTTTCGATTTCAAAAATAAAATGTGTGCGGTATTCTGACAACGGTCGTGCAAACGTCGCATTATTGCCGCGTGTAATGAATGTGAAAACAAATTATAGCGTACCTATATTATGTACTTTTACTACGGGTAAACCAATAAGGAGCTATAAATTATAATATGTAAGTGCGATTAAAAAAAAATAATAATAATAATATAAAATGTCGATTAAATTTAAATTTCTTTTTAAACGTACGATATTATTTTAATGTTTATTTTTTATCGAACACGATTTTTAACGGAAATAACAATTAGGACCGGGGTTGGCAAAAAAAAAAAAAACACCGTTGTATATAGTAGCCTTGAGACGCGAAAACTTAAAAAAAATATATCGCTGCGTATTTAAACGACAGTATTTAATAACAGTGGCGTACGCGAGGGTAAGGTGATAAGATTTTTATTAAACCATCCCCTCCCTCGCCGTGAATCAGTCATTATATATATTTGAAATATGAAAAAGGTCGATTTATCGAATACGAATTGGCCCATTTGGATACGGCTTTTAATTTCTCACCGTTGTCGGGTTCGGTATTACCGATTTATTCGCGCATCATCGCGATTATTGATTTATATACAAATTTACCAGTTCCCCTCCCCCATTGAAAATCCCTTGGCACGCAACCGGATTATATTATCGCCCCACGTGTTCTTAGTTTTTCGACATTTTTCTATAGTTATAATGATTTACTATTGCTTAGGTGCGCTCGGCCGTGCGTAAGTTAGTTAGTTGAGGTCAAGGAAATCTGTACGGGAAATCACGTCCGAGGACAGTGACGGCGGCGGCGGCGGCTGCGGCTGCGGTTATCAGCCGCGTTATCAGACAATAATAACATTTACATAATATAGTATAATATTATTGCGCGTGGTATAAACGACCGTCGACTCGGCGATATTTTCTCGGGCAAATGGAAACGCGTCGCGCGGAATATCGTTTGAAATATTATTCCTTTCCGTTCACACGCATGCGCATTTTCGAAAACACCGGACGACGACGGACACAGTATCATATTAATATATAGTAATGTAATGTATTATTTTACACGCGCCGCGTACCTATCTGTATAATAACCGCGTGATATGAATGGCTGCGGGTACACAAATAATAATAATATTAAATAAAAAATCGCCAAAAATGATTGTCTGGAAGCTAATGGGCGTATAAATTTTAAGTAAAAAAAAAAAAAAAAGTATCGGCGTTAAACACCGCATACTGTACATTTATAATATCTAGTGCGCGTGCGCGTGTAATATACACGAGAATCGGGGCCGTTGTCGCGCGTCGAGGTCATTCCTACGCGAAGTTGATAAGTCCGGTGCCAAAACGTAATTCAACACGGTTTTTCGATTCCATTTTCCCCTCTTATATAATGTGTATACACTTTGTGTTTTCTCGATTTTTCTCCTCTCCCCCCCCTCTCTCATCCATTCCTTTCGCTTTTCCCGTGCGCGTATATATAATAAATTGTTTACCGAATCCAAAAGCCCGGAACGCTTGTAACTGGTCGAAAGCCGCCGTCGCTATATCGTTATTTCGAATTATTAACGTTTGCTTATAGGTATATTATAGGTACGTATGCATTTCGTAAAATAAAAAAGAAAGAATGCAATTGTTTGGCGACAGTCGTGCCACACGGACAACACTGCAGTAATAATAACGATACAACAATAAAACATGTTTTGAAACGCCATGATTTTTACGGTTTTCGTTAAAATTTGAACTTTCAATGTTTATATATTTATATATATATATAAAAAAAAACTACTTTATATTATAACGTTATGACTTTTTCATTTTTACCACTAAACACAACTTAATGTTATGATGATTAACCTCGTGTTAAATGTTTAAGCATTCTTTTTCTGCTCGGCAAAAACAAGCCGTATAAAAACAAACAAAAATAACCGGCAATTTCAAATATCATATAATATAAACAGCTCAGAAATCGCCAGAAGTTTTTGAAAATTTTACCACGTCTAAAAAGCGTGTTCCGCACACTTGTCAGGTCTCTCTACGATTATTTTTCTTACTGAATTACAAAAGAAAATATTTATAAATGTATATAAAATTATGGTGGAACCGTTATTGCGTAAATTTCCCTGGCTTCTCCTATATGTTTACCAATTATTAAGAAACCTACAAGGAAAATCAAAAATCGACTGCAATGCATATCGGCCAGACAAAATTTGCATTCGGAAAACTATCAGATTTCCCAAGTAATTCCAATAAATAGAATAAAAATTCACAGCACCCAGAGACACCTAATAATTTTATGTTAATATATAATACTTGTGTAGGTAGTTTAGTTTTTATATATATATATATATATATAGGATAAGTATTATACGCGTCTAATCAGAGTGGTTTTGATTCGGTATAATTTGGTTTTTTAGTATAGAAATTCGTTCGTGTTATTTTTTACTGCAAATATAATTGCTTCCGAATAACATACAAGACGCAGGTAGTTTCCGTGAGAGGTGAACAGAAGTGAATTCGCCCTGTTGACGGGAAAATATGAACACAATATTAATTTTATAATTATTTGCGTTCGTTCGTTAACAATAAAAAGGGGGGGAAATTATTGGAGTAGAAATGGATTTCGTTGATTTTAGCGTTTTAATTAAAGATTCAGAAAACCCATTATATTTGTTTTTAATCGCTCAGATGCCCGTGCGAGTTAAATTGTTCGCAAAAAATCAAGAACATTTTTCCGGACACCGTTTTTGAGTTTTTGATTACCTTTGAAAATTGCCTCGAATTCTATAACATGCAGCAAGTATATATTTTGTAATTTGCATTATATAATAAATTATATTATAATATTTGAAGATCCGCAATGCTGCAAAAAATTTATTTTTCATGCACTGAAAGTAAATTAATTTAATACCTCCCCGCCCCCCTCAAAGACTTTCTGTTGGTATTATAACGTGCAGATCAATCGTGTTTTATAGTACTCTGCAAAGTACAATATTGTATTATGTTTGAAACCGTATGTATTTTGAAGAACTCGTGATTCGTGTTTGAATTAAAAATTAAAAATCCATTACATAGTTATTTCGAATGGGAAATAATTATAATTAAATGAGAAAATGCAGTAGATCGTATTATAAGAAAACAGAACATTTAATGCAAATTATAAACTAAATAAACATTAATTTAACGACATTATTAATTATTATACCGTGAAACCGTATTGAAATTTACACAAACATAAAAACCTCGTTAGGATTTCATTGTTTGTCCGGATTAAATAAAATAACACGTATGTTTTAACATTAAAATGGTAAAAATAATTATTTTAGACTGTACGACTATAATACGGCGAAGATCGATGCAGTTATTGTTGTTACAAATGATATTATGTTTTTCTTTTAGTTTTTTGGCAAAATCATCTAAAAATAAAATAAAAAGAGCAAATATTTATACGAAGTATACGAAATATTTACACTAGTTTTAACTAAACAATCATTGTTATAATTTAGATCATCGTTTGAGGATTAGATTTCAGCCGGCCCTTATACTCGAAAGACGAGAAATGTTGATTATTTCGAGGATTTTGCTGTGTGTATACCTGCATATATTAAACCTGTAGTTGTTTTACGAGGAGGCATCATACAAAATAAAAACAAAATAATAAAAATGTATATATGTAATCTTCACACTAATAATACATTTTTTTTTTTTTTTAAAACTAGATTTTTGATACTATTCACAATTTTTTGTTTCGAAATAAAACTCAATATTTGATTTAACAATGAATGCATATTTTTATTACAGTGAAAGAAATGCCAAAACTTGTGAAACTTGCGCCCAACAACGGGTCGGTGGATAGGTCACCGTTGCAACAAGAGTTGAAAAAACGGAAAAGACCAATTGGAAAAAGCCATGGATTGATTACCAGCAAACCTTTAACGATAGGTAAGTATTATGATATAGTAGTAATTATCTAATCCCCAATAGTATAAAATCATAATGTATTCAATATGACACGTAATTCATTTCATATTTATTATTGTCTGAATTTGAAAATCAGTTTGAAAAAAATGCAAATTTAAATTGTAATTACAATATTGTATCTTCCAACAATCCCAAATTATAGTCGTGCCCGTTAAGATCTACTTTTCCAAGGATTTAAATGGATGGTTTGATAAGAGCGTACACTTTTTTGAAACACTTTTAGATTCAGTGCCTTATGAGGACGTCACATCTGCATTTACTGTCTCCGTCTTACAAACGCACGACATAGAAAATTTGCGTTCAGTATGACAAATTTTTTACCGTTACCTATAGGTGTAATATTAGAATGAATTGACCTATTACCAAGAATAAAGGAAAGGACATATCTGTGTTATTATTTTGGTTTTTTTCTCGGTGTTTTAATTTTTTTAGAGAGATATGAGTATGTGAAATATTACAATTTTAAAAATGCTTTTGTCTTATCTAAAAGTTATAATATCGAAGAAAAAAAAACACAGATGCTTGGTACTCAAATACCTTATTATTTTTACTTTTAAGTTTGGTAATAATTCAATCCACTCTAATACTAACCTCATAAAATTTGACCTATGAACTCAAATTTGCCATTTCGTGCGTCTATGTCTAAGACGGTCTACGGAGATAGTTGTAGATGCAGGTGTGGTGACCTCTTAAAAGTTTAAACACACGTATAAAATAAAAACTATATAGTTTTTAAGTTTATAGTTCAGTTATGATAGTAATAATAATAAATAAAAAATGAGCATTAATATTTCAAAAAACAACAACACAAAAGCCGATCCAAAAAATGAACGTGAAATATAAAATTGAATACACTCGGTAGGTACATTGTGTATTGGGACAAAATACAACTAGTGGGTTAAAAAAAAAAACCATATATATTTTTAGTTTTTACTTTAAATGTATATTTTCTCCGACATGTGATATTTTATTCTGTAAATTATGCAAATGTAGTCGGTTTGGACTTTTACGATTTCGTGATTAGAGTATTATAATGTCGTCCGAGGCGTATATAATATGGTATATCATGCTGCCACGCATATTATTATAATGCAATCGCCTTCGCGCGAGATGATATTTCCGGACAACGCTGTATACTCGCATAAAAAAAAAATAAAATAAAAAATAATCGACAGTAATGCAATATATAAGTTTAACGTTATTATTTATACCTTTTTTTTAAATTTTTTTTTTTTTACTCTTCCATTGTATACAAATTTGTCTCATTGGTCGTTTTATGATAATTATATAACGATAAACACATTGTTTTCTTGCTGGGTAGGTACCTAAAATTATGCATAGGTATAATGGAGTTCAAAATATATACCTAACTCATACATATTATAGGTTTAGGTATTGTTAATATTAATATTCTTCTCCATTTTCGACAAAACTTACATTTTCATTAAAACACGTACAATTACGTAGTATTTATATATTATACGCATAATGAAAAATTACAGATTTAGAAAAAGTGCAAAATGAAATCGTTATAGAATAATATATATACATAATATAATATTATAATATATATTTTATGGTATCACCAACGAAACTATGATAATTAGGGCTCGGAAGTTGTTACATTTTTCTATTGTTTCTATTGTTTTATGGCTAAGTAAGTTTTAAATTCATTCCATGCAAGTACGGATTAAAATCTAAACATTTTTAAATTTTCTAAAAATTCCCAACATAAGTATATAGCATATATATACAACATAATTATAAAAATCAAATGTAATTTAAAAAAATAAATATAATATCTATTAGTATACCTATTTTAAATTTAAAAAGCCAGTATGAGTATTTTGTACATTGTTAATGTACGTTCCTTGTACAAAATAGATACTGCTTATAGGGCCTGGGTTTTCAACCTGGAGGACGCGCTTTCCTAAGGAGACGTGAATATTTTCAAAAATCCTACGGAACGAACATATATGTATTCTAATTTTATAGTTGTGAGGGAAGGCGTGATATCATGAAATAGTATAAAAAGGAAGCATAAATCCCATAAGATTGAGAACCCATGGCTTATGGGCGTAAGCCACTGTTGTATAAGGTGGGAAGTTGGGAAGATTATTATTATCATAAAAGGCAATTTAGTTTATAATAGTACGCAACGGCAAATGATTAATTAATTAATCACGTTTTGATAAATTTATTGAAAATGTATTAATGTTAACTACAAAATAAACTAAAATTTTCGTGTTTATCAATCCCGAATTGTTAAGTATTTTTATAGAGTCAAAAAAGTTGTATCTACTATGTTCAGAAAATATGTATCTGTGTACCTATTAGAAAATAGTACCTACGCAAAATGTCATGATATTTGCGATTTTCGTCAAAATTTGAATTTGAATTTTTTTATACTTTTATTTTATTTAAATGTTTCACAAAGGTAGTAGGTACGAGACATCAGTGTTTGTGTGGAATAAAATGTACAAGTTGATCACGTGTTTAGAATTCATGTGGATAATGTTATGGTGGATTTCAATCTTGTTTTAGCATCATCAATTTAACCGCGGAAGTTCATAGTACAATAAAAACCGGATATAGGTTTATTTCCTGATAGTTTATGATAGTATAGATATTGGTTTTAGTAAATGCTGAAAGTGAATATTTAAATAATTTTATTATGTTGATATTTTCTTTTAACGCCTATGTGTGTTTTTGTATACGTAAATATATAGGTACAATAGGTACATATTATTATTCAGTATTCTGTACATTTTGAAATCAATTGACTTTGCAATTACTTAACGATTATTACTTATAATAAAGTATATATAATTTTATTTGTTATACTGTTCACAGTCGCTCCTACTCCAATAACTCCTACTAGAAACGATGACTCTCTTAGCTCAGCAAAATATACTTTTATGACACAAACTAATCCGTCGTTAGTGTTGAAGAAAAAAGACTCCACTGTCCAATGCAGTCAACAAACGACTACCATCAAAAGTATACTATAAACATTTTTAATTTACGAAAAATCACAAGTCCATATAATTATTTTTGAATATTGTATAATTTAGCCGGTGTCAGCGGAAGTATACCAGTTGGTATAGCCGTTGCTAGACAAAGGTATACTCAAAGCTCTTCTAGTACAGATATTCAAAGACACCGAGAAACAACTTCTACAGTGTCGATGCCCGAAGTCATTCATCAGTCGCCAATGCAGACTATGGGTAAATAAATACATTTGATATATTAATATTATTATCATAAGTTTTCTTCAAATTTATTGGCACGGTATGTCCAATAGTGTTGTCCTATAACGATTGTTCTATGACAACTGGTACAACAGCACGATGGCCACAGTCTGGGGGCTGCAACGTACCTCAAAACACTATTGGAAGTCAATGGAGTTTTCAGAATACTACATTAAGAGGTTAGATAGATACAACATTTTAACTTCCCTTATTTGAAATGTATTCTCCCTTTTTTGAAAAATTATTTTATTGAATGACTTCCAAAAATATTTTTTAATAAATCAGTTAAAAATGTCATGTACTAATAATCAATTTTTGTGTAAAGCACCTGCTCTGGAACAGCAACCAGTGCAGCCAGTCGGTTATCAACTAGTCCAAGATCAATCTGGACAATTTTTCTTACTGCCTCAAAATTCTATTACTGGTAAAACAAAATAATTATTTACAATATTGATATCATTTACATTTTAATTCAAATAATTTATCACTGGTATTATTTTTCAGGTTTAATGACAATGCCATATGATTATTGTAAGTCAGAAACACAGAACCATCAACCGAATCAAGGTTACACTCTGATTCAACAACAACCGCAACAACAAATGGCCACTCTATCACCTATTATAAATCACCATCCACAATACACGTCTATTGCAAGTTCGGGTAATTATATAATATATAATTGAGATTTATTTATGTAGGTAATTAATTTGTTTTTTGATTTTTATTCAGGTTCATTCTTGATTCAGCAAGTTAGTTCTTCTACTCCACCTGCTCTTATCAACACTCACCATCAATTAGCTGATAACAACACACACCAACAACCGTTGATACAGTTGGCATCACCTGAAAATCAAATGATCATTTTTAACCAACAACAGTCGGCTATTGTAGCTCAACCAATGATCAGTCATTTACAACCAGCACATTCAGGATTGACTATAGCAACCCAAATGCAAACTGGTTGTCAAAATCAAATCAATGATATACAAACAGTCTCTGAATCTGTAACTGTCCAAACTAAATTGGTACAGCAATCAATCACTGAGAAAAGTACAATCTCAAGTCACACAGAAGAAAATGTGTCAATTTCATTAGACTTTTGTAACACTACTATTAGTGAGTCAGAAAAAGACTTAAAACAAGACCATTCTACTCCAGATCAACCCTTGGAATCTGATGAGATTGTATCTCATGATGCTAGCAATCAAACAGATATCCAAACTGAAGATGACTCATATCATCCTTTGGCTGAAGAGAATAAGGAAATACATTTTACTGAGAGTACTCAAGAATGTAAAGACAATAATCAGTCTTTAACTGATGATACCAACCAGTCAACAGTAATGTCTATAGCTGAAAACTCTGAAACACCTGATATAACTGGACTAGAGCTATTGTTGAATAGTATTGAGCAATTTGAAAAACAAAATTCTAATAAACGCTTAGATAATAACTACCAGGAAATCAAAATTAATAAAGAGGAGCCAGAAATTACACAACCAGTGGACACCAATGCAAACACCATTGAGGAACCCGAAGAAAAAGGTATTAACAAGATTGGTTTGCTTTTGATGGCTGAAGAATATTTAGAAACTGAAAAATCATGTGAAACTTCTAAACTAGACAATAACCAGCATAGTTATTTGAACATTAAGTTGCCTGGTAAGTTTAGCATATTATTAATTTTTGTGTATATATTAATTACAAGAGCTGATACTGTAGGTGATTTCTTGCAGGTGGGAAGTTAGGAAAGTAGGGCACAGAAATTTCTTTAATTCATATCTATATGCAACGTTTTTCCCAAATATTAAGAAAATTGTTTGGGAATAAAAAACTTCATTATGAACAACTACATAAGATTTTACAAAATCAAAAATAATGAAATTTGTATTATTGTAAATTAGTTGTGTTTTTTTTTTTTTGTTTTTAATAATTATTATAAGAATTGCTTGAGAAATTAAAAAATGATTGTTAATGCATCAGTTGGATCTAAAATGCTACAAAAAAACTTTTATATCATGTTTTGATTGAAGCATGATTTCTGGGAAAAAAGTCGTTAGTAGACAGAAAATTATTTTTAAAAATCCCACATACCACAGTAAAATCAAAATATTCCAATCTGAAATATATATGTACATTTTTTTTTTTCAGAGGAACAAATAAAAGTAATTAATGAGAATCATCAAATCTCTATAACCCCCGAGGTAACAAGTTTTAAGGACATTGCTTTAAAAGTATACTCCAAAAAATCATCAAATGAGAGTGGTTATAATTCCCAGTCAGTAGAGAAATCTCAAGTTGAAATGAAATTAGATAAACCTAAAAAAAAGATTGAATATTCTAGTAGTAAGGTCTTGAAACGAAAAGGATCTGATTCAAGTTTGTCATCATCGGGTCAAGTAAAACGAGGACCTGGTCGTCCAAAAAAAGTATTAAAAGTAGATAGTGATAACAACAATAGTAATGTTGATCATAACATAACAGAAAAGAAGTTAAAGTTAGATTTTAGTTCCAAAAGCAAACATAAAATTTCAAATTCATCATCTTCAGATCTTTCACCTCCTGTGCTAGAACCATGGAGTCCTTTATCACCTACAAAAGATTCTACGCGTACCCCTCCTACCTTATCTCCGATTTCATCAGCTAAATTATCTGATGTGCAAAAATCATCAGATGACGAAAAGTTGTATGAAAAGAAAATGACAAAAAAATATTCAACGTCATCAACTCTGGTATGGAAATTGTATACTTATTTTTGTAGTTATGATATTAACATTTTAATTTGTTTAGACTAGTGAAGATGAATTTAGACCTCCACTAAAGAAGCGTAAAGTTGGACGACCAAGAAAGTACCCAAGTCCATTTGATGAAGCAATTCAAAAACACCAATTGCAAAATCAAAAGAAGGATAAACCGATTTCTTTATCATCAAACTTGATTAGCAATATAGCAACTATTAAAACTACTCAAGTAGAAACATCTTCTAGTGGCCAGTATAAAATAAAACCCAAATTAAAGGCTGAAGTTAAAGTGAGTTGGTTTTTTAATCATATTAATTATATTAATTCTTATAAATGTTAGAATCTTAGTTAATATCAGTTATTTATTTATAAATTATAATTAATCTTTATATATTAAAAAACATAAAAATGAAAAACACGAAATGACCTAATTACGAAATAATTTATTGTATTTTCAAAGAATAAATTTAGAAAACATAGAATATATAGAATAGAATCTATTTGTTTAAATTTTAATATTTAAAAGTAGTACAACTTTTTAGAATGTAGTTCTGAAAGTTTTTGATCATTGTTAAATTTAAAAATTCAAACAATGTAGGAACAACTTATAAACTGATTATTTGTGTATTTATAGATCAAACATTGGAATGTAGACGATGAAGACGATGAGATTAAAGATCAAGACGACATACTAATTCCAACTGAATATGTGTGTAAAAAGCGTCGAATAGCTGATGCTCTACATAGAATGGTAGTTAATATCTAAAATATATAGGATTATTTGAATTTTCGTTACACCAATTTTTTAATTTTTTGTTTTTCTATACATATTTAGTATATTTTTAAAACATAATGATTAAACTTTTTTACTGAAAATATATACAGTTGTTTTATAAAAATGTGTAGTTGTCATATTTTCTATCTACTTTTAAATTAAAATTTGAATACAGCAAATTTTCAGGAAATAATATTATGTATAAATATTAAGTAGGTATTAGAAGAGTAGTTTATTTTTTATAGTGCCAGTAGTTATATGTATTTGCATGTTTATAGTGTTTATTTAGATTATATATTACGTTTTTGTTCTATCAGAGTTGTTTGAAATATAGACATTTGACATAAAATTGTATAGGTACCTATAGGTTTAATTTGAATATAAACTATTGAATGTATAATTTATATTTTAACCATTAAAACATATTGAGTAATATATTTTAGCAATTAAATTATCTAATCTTTTGCTCTGTTGTATGTACAAAAATAAATGACGTTGCTTATAATTTTCAACAATTGTGTGACAAAAAAAGTTCAGTGTAGAAATTTGATAAGGGCTCTTGTCTTGCTTCTTCATTCTTGGCACAGGAAAGACGTGTGTTCTTATTTTTAATTTGAACACAATAATATTTATTGCATTAAGGTAAATGGTTTTTTTTGAAGTTCAAAAATACGATTTTAAATGCATGCTTATTCTTTTTCAATTCTCTAACAATTTTAGGGAATTTAAATTAAGAAACCATTTTCTTAAATACCAATAGTAAGATTTTATGGTCAATTATTTGTTTATAATAGTGTTCCATGAACAGTATTGAGTAAATCACAGCTTTTATAATAAAAAATACATAATCATTAAACTAATAATTTCAGTGACACACTCAACAATTTAGGAAAATTGCTTTACTAAATACAGCTATTGTTATATTCACACTGTAAAACTTCAGTATAATTACATTTATTTTGTTATACTTAAGATATTTTCTAGTTTAATAAAGTGTGATTTACTGAATTTACCAACAAGTGTAAGGCTACTAATATGTTCTAACACTTTGTTCCTGTAGCATGGTTTACTATTAAGTGGACATTTCATCAGTATTAATTGTTTCAGTCTCACCAACAGGCAATATAATAAAATTAGTTTACTTAGAATTTATACTGTTATGTTTAAGTTGAAATAATTTAAAAAAAAAAAAGAATATTTCGGAGATATTTTTTTTTTTAATATTATTCAACAAAAAAGTTACAGATATGTTGTTTTTGATTTTTTTTTTTTTTAAATAATTTGTGTGTTCCAAAATCCATTTATCAATTCAGCAGAATGTTCAGTGAATTGATGGACCTTAAGAACACTTTTTTTATTGCAATGAAACTTGGTGGTTCATACCTGTAACCACCATCAACCACTAATATATCATAATATCAGTTTATTTATTTTATATTCTTATAATATCACAACTCGTATCCAAGATTTATGGATAATTTTACATTTTAAACAATTATTTTTTTATTTTTAAAACTTAACTTAAAAGTGAAAACTTATAGTAAACCATTAGTTTTTGTTTAATAATTTATTTTAGAATTTACTACTCATAAAAAATGGATAGTAATAACTACTTGTCTGTTAATATTTGAATACTTATGTCTAAAGTGCGTATAACAAATTGTATGTTGTTATTATTATCAACAAAACTAATTAGTAATTTCCATAGTTATGATTAATGAACAAAAATCCAAGTGTTCATCCGTGTTTAATGAAAACTAAATATTTATTAAATGAAAACCACAAACTAGTTACATGATGAAAACTATGACAAATTAACGAAAACAATGTAACCTATAAGTGTTAAGATGTAAAACATAATTTTTGACTTGAACCATTGTTATCATTTAGTTGATCGGTTCAATGCTATCCAACAGAATAATACTTGTTTCCTGATAAACGCACTTGATCACTTCCGCACCGGGATTTTGTTTTGTGTTTACTATTGTTAAAATGACTTATGATCTTATATAAGAAAAAAAACTACTATAGAGTGCAATTAACTACCTGTATGACTTTATTATTGCAATAAAACATAGGAACCGCTTATAACTCACAGACACATAAACTAACTGACTTATAAGACCATATTTAACCTACCACTAGCTAATATAATACAATGCCCTGATAACCAAGGTGAGATAATACTACAATACTGTTTTACTTTAAAGGCCCTTAAAGGTATAATCTAATTTGTTTAAAACCAGTTCTATACTCAAGAGATCTGTTTGAAACTCAGAGCTGTCAAGTTTTATCAAGAGAGTTCCTGGAAATAATCTCTAATTCTCTAAAAATATTTTAAACAAGAATTTATTTGTGACAATAGCTAGAAGATTTTGCATATAATGTGTTTTTTTAAGGTTCACGAGCAATGTATTAATAAATGGTCCACTTCATGATTATTGTTTTGTATTATAAAATGTAAGATTTAATTTTTTAGTAAACCAATAGCCAATGATAAAAATGTTGACTATTATAGGCGACTGATTATTCTTTTCCGTTGCCAAAATTAGTTTCAAAATTCTTGTCTGTTAAACTAGAGCACATATTTTTTTTTTGTTTCTTCAGCTGCTATTAACTATACTTATAATGAACTTATACCTCAATGTATGCACCTAGTCAATGAGGCTGCTTATTATACTATTATTTAATTATTGAAAACACTATTAATATTAGTATTATTATTGTTATATTATTATATTTTTACTTATAATCTAAATATTATATTTTGACCAGCACTAGCATTATTATAAATACAATTAGTTTTATATATAATATATAGGATATAATTTAACATTTTTAGCATCCGAATAAAAATAAATAACTATTTATTAGAAGTTAAGTAGTTTAGTATAGTTCCAATATTTTATTGTATAATGCATACAACTATCATAGTCGTAATAGTAAAAATAAGCAATAGTACCTATTTTTAAGCATTTAAAGTTAGACTTGTAAAATTAAATGAGAAATATAATTTTTTTCATTTTCTCTTCTTGTATAAATTATGTTTAATACTTTAGATAGTTATTTTGTTTCTGAATTTAAAATTTTTTTTAAAAGCGGCTACTTATTGAAAATGAAAGTTAATTTAGTTTTAAAATGCGAAAAAGAATATAAATTTAGAAAAAAATGAAAACAAAAACTGAAATTGATAAATAGTGAGTTTTAAAAAGAGAATGTTTTAAATATACTCAATTTTACAAAAAAAAAAAATTGATGTAATGAACGGATTGGAGGATTCTTTTATGTAATAACAAGTACTAATCACAGTGAATATTGTATAATGTTTAATATTTATATTATGTTATAGTCTCCTTGTACTGTTATTAAGCCAGCAGTAATTCCTAAGAAGAGAAAATTTTCAAATATATCACTAGAAAGTATAGACAGTTTAGACAATAATGTATCATTCCCAAAAAAGGACACATTATTTAGTTCTGTTCCAATAAAATGTCAGAAACCAGAACCTGAAATTTCTTTGGAGCAATCTAATCAAGGTATTTAATATAATTAATTTTAATTAGTTTTAGGCAATTTTATATGTGTGGTATGTATATTATACATTGGTGGTTTCAGAACAAGATAGTTCTACTAAGGTCGAACTCGCTGAACGACAGTGCACACCCGTCAGCCCGAGTCGACCGGATGTAGAAATAACTACTGTCAATGTGAGTTTCTTGTTAATATTTTTTGTATTAAATTATATGATCAATAATAATTTATTAACAGGACGATTATGAAAGAAGAAGACTGAAGAAAAAACATAAACATAGAAAACACAAGCACAGTCACGATGAATCAAGAACTAAACACAAACATAAACACCACAAGAAACACCACAAAAAGCATAAACGACATCGGGATTCTGAGCCAGAACTGTCTGTAGCAGATCCACCGACTTTATCCCCTCAAACAATCGTTGAAGAAGCTATTGATGATGATGATGATGATGATGATGATGATGAAAAATCCAAAGATGTAAGAAAATTTTTTATATCTAAACATTATACTTTAGTTCATTTTTATACATTGATTATTTTGTCAAAAACTTTTGTCAAATAACACTTTTAGTTTTTAATAATATAAATTATTGTTATTGAAATTAAATACATACAATATCCATATAGTACAAGTAGTATATAAACTAATTGGTCATTAAATTGTATCTCATTAATGCCAAATGGTTTAATTATATACTTATATTATATTTAATTTACTATCTTTTTGTATTTTATATGTTTAAAATGAATTGTAGCAAAACTAAAATAAGGAGAATTGATTTAATTATAATATTATTGTAGAATGACTCCAGTGAAGTTGAGAGCAGTGATGTCCCAACTTTTTTGTCAGACCAGCAGATATGGAAGTGGTCAGGTGATAGTTATAAACGACCTGGCCGTAATGGCAATAAGAAAATCTTTTATAAGTCCATCAGCAGAGGAGACGAAACCATAAGTGTATGTTAAAATTATAAATTTTATGTATTTTATAATTTTCAGTTATTACAAGTTATGTATTTTGTTTTGAATAGATTGGTGATTGTGCTGTGTTTTTATCGTCTGGTCGACCGGATCGACCATTTATTGGTAAAGTTGACTGTATGTGGGAAACAAACTTGGAAAAAATGGAAGTCAAGGTGTTTTGGTTTTATCATCCAGAAGAAACAGCCACCGACTTTGCTGGTGATCTACCGTATCCAGTGAGTATAATATTACATATAGTACAATGTATTAATTTTTTTTACTTGTTGGGTGATACCCTTAGGAGTTTAAACATGAAATAAGAATAAAAACGCTGAGAAATTATTATTTTTTTGTTTTAACATTATTTTTATTGAAAATATATTCACATAATTATTCAAAAAAAACATTTAGGTTTGAACCACCATCTTAATAATTTTTTTTATATTTGATTTAATCTATTTACTGTGAAAAAAATTGATACTAAATCATAAATACATTATAATTTTACTAATATGCATTTTAAATTTCAATCTTAAGAGTATTATGGAATGAAAAATCAGTATCAATATTTTAAAATCGCATTTTCCCATTTATTGGCCATCATATGCTATCTATGTTTTTGTAATAATTGATATCATACAGTAAATTAATTGATGAACATGAATACTGGAATAACCACTGTATCAAATTACAAAATTACATTATTTTTAAATTTCACTATAATAACTTTATATTCATATCGTTTTTCTTTAATACCATAGGGTGCATTGTTCAAATCACCTCATAATGACGTCAATGATGTACAAAGCATTATGAATAGTTGTCAAGTAGTATCGTTTCAAGAATTTAAAACAGTCATAGAAAAAGAGCCTGAACGTTTGGAAGCCATATATGATAATAACGATCTATTTTATTTGGCTGGTGACTATGAACCGGTTATGAAAACGATAAACTTTAGTGATGGTGTAGTGGTAGCAAAAAAGCAATAAATGATTTGCTTGTCATTATTAATTATTATTTTCACTTATTAATAATTCTTTATTTATTATGCCATTATTTTATTTTGTGTATTATTACTATACTATTCTTATTTTGTTTTTACTATTCTTTTTTTAAATTATTTGTTACCTGTAAATCATATTTAGGAAACTAATGTATTACTCTAAAAAATTGCGGTTTTATTATTTTTAATGTTAATTTTATTTATTATTTTTATTATTATTATTATTTTGCCTCTATCTAAAATACAAGTTTTAGACGTATACATTTATAATTAAACCATATTGTTGTTTTCTATGATTCAGCATTAACGCACACCCTGATTATTTTAACTTGTTATAACTTATTAAGTATTTGGTTCCTAATTAAATGTATTTGTGTACGTAGGCGCCAAGTACACGGATGCTTGAATACTTGAGTACTTGCTTAAATCATTAGGTGTGGTTTCGCGTTGCAAACAATTGTAAACTGTTTATATTGTAAAGCATTTGCATAGTCGTGAAAATTACACGTTTTACTTATGCATGATAATGTATTGTCCAAATTTCTATTTTATTGTGTTAACTATGATTTAAAATATATGTGAATTTATGAAACACAAAGTAAACAAAATTAAAATATGGTTTACATATTCTTCAAACAAACTTATTCTAGCCAACTGTTTCAAGTATAAAGTTATGTTGAAGATAATTTTTTTTTTTTGTAAACTATTAACATTGTTCACATCCAAAACCACACCTATTTAGTAGGTTCTGAGCACTTAATATTAATAACTGATTATACCTATTCAATGTAACTATAAATGCTCAGGACAGTGATAATGTCTGTAACAATTTGTTCTAAAAATCAAAATTTTATTCCCGACTTAATAATATTTATTGTAAAAATGAATAAATATATAAGGAAAATGTTTTATTGTATATTTATATATTATTGTAACTTCCTATTATGGCTGTAACTATATTTTAATTAAACACATATCTGTATATTTTTACACTGTTAATGATACCTAATTTAAATATATTTGAATTATTGGGGGTTTTTTTTTTTTGTTAAATAATAGATCTAGATAATTCTTTTGTTCTTTAATAATCAAATAAAATTTGAGCTTGACATATTAGATTGATATTGTTAGACCTTAGTGTTATGGTTTTGCTGTAAATGTAAGTTCCGTATCAACGTCATTGGTATCTAAATATAATTATTGATGTACACTTGAAAATATATCCATACATAAATTAGTTCATTCTGTCTTACCAATATAATCTATTATCGAGTAATCTATTGTTTAATTCTTGATCGTACTTAAATGCTGACCCTATAGACACGTGTGATGTGCCAAAACAGCACATTTTGAGGGGCAGAACATTTTAATAGGACATTTTTTAAAATTATCACAGGTGTGCGCACTAGGAGTTTGGAGCATTCAGACAACCCCAGGCCCTCTAGTATGAGTATGTAATATATATTATATATATTACATATACCTACCTATACCTTACATATGTATTTTATTAAATTAGCATTTTTAACTATTAATTTGAAGATTAAGGAAAGTTCGGTATATGGAAACTTAATCAATCACCAAAATAATTTAACCAACATCAATTAATTTAAGTTTAAAAATAATAATAATTTTAACTTGAAAAACATTTTATTTGATAAAAATTATAAAAAAGCTCTCATACATTGCACAATGGGTGGACTACTGTTTTAGGTGGAAAATTGGGGAGGATATAGAGAGTAATTTAATTCATATTTGTTTGCAATGATAAACCATTGCTAACGAAAAACGATTTGGAGTGAAGTTCGGTTAATACATGTTTTAGCCCGTAATATTTTCGATTTTTGCCAAAATATTAAAATTCTTAAAAATAAAAATACTACATAAAACTCACTTTTTTCTTGTTGACCAGTAAGTACTACTTATAATCAATTTCCTGTTAAATTTTCAAGCATTTCTGTTTAATTTAATTATTTTTTTTGTAGAGTACATACATATCTAATAAAAATTGCTCAAATGTTCTGAAAGTTTTACTCTACTACCTACCTATATTCAGTGATGTTTCCATAGGATATACTTACAACATACACTGCGTATACTTTCAATTAATTTTGATAGACAAAATAGTAAAATAATAAAAAAATTCGTCATAATATATAATTATTATTATTCATTGCTGTTCATACCATCATACTATCTTATGCTAGATTGCCATTAAAACCATAATATAGTATTAGTTATTTTATTTATTTCAATAATTGTAACTAAATATTCAAAGTATTCTTTTGAAAGTTTACAATACTTTTTTATTTTTTTTAAACTGTTTAGTGTTTTATTTCGGAAATTATAATTTGATTTCTGTAAATTGATATTTGTTTCCCTGGAAACAATTTAAACCATACAAAAAATATACAAAATGCCCGATGTAAGGCACGCAGAATGGTATATAGTATATTCTAGAGAAAATTGATGGAAACACCATTGCAGCTATATTATCTATTTAATTACAGGAGTAATCTTGTTTTTTCTCCTTGAAAATACCACTGATAAAGCTAAATTAAACATTTTTTTTTTTTTTTACCAATAAATCTCAATAGAAAATATTGAATCTGAATTCAAATGTATTACCCAGTTAAAATTCAAGTTTGTGAACTTGATTCGGAAAAAAGTCGATTAAAATAAATAGTATGAACTTATATCACGTTACGGTCATAGACTTTGAATTTTGAACGGATGATATTTTGCCTAGGTATCTAGATATTATTACCTCTGATCCAACAAATAGATTAGTATAGATTCTACCCACCTGAATAACTATCAAACCAGGGGTCACCACTTAATATTTTTGAAGAGCCGCATTAAGAACCTGGACATTTTTCGCGGGGGGAGGGGGGAGGTCATAAAAATGAAAAGTACATATTTTTAATATATAATAGAATATCGTAAATATTATGGCCTTTTAAAATATCTATAATCGAATTCCTTTCAGAATCGTTATTCGATGTAGCAACGATTATTCGTTGCGTACAGATATGCGGTTAATTCCCCTCTAGATCTTACCTCGCAACTATTCTCACCTACAACAGTGGCCCACTCATCGTGCGAAGCATATCCGTCTTTTTTTGTTATTGTTTATAAACATTGAGAATACAATATTAATGTTACGATTATTTGAAACAATGCGTAAAATAAAACATTAATTATACCTAAATGTAATAAAAATAAACAATCGTTTAGCGGGATAAACGGCATTTTTCTCTCGAGAATAAGAAATCACGGTTCTAAAACATCGCAACGTTATATTTTCGGTTTTTTTCCTATACTTGTCTGCGTATAAAATTCGTCCGCGGGCCGGCCGCCGCTCGGTGACTAACCCCAATCGAAGTCGAACGATCTCCGCGTCGCGTTGCGCGTTATCCCGTAAAAAATAAAAATAATAATAATAATAATAATATCGGAGTGATTTGCATATACGTGAACGTACGATACGTAACTGCTATTGAGCTGTCAACAACACGCACCTATAGACGGTACAGTTCCGTGTATACGGGTAGTTAGTATATGTAGTTTTTCGGAACTTTTTCCGAAACCGCCGCCCTGGGTATGCCTGTACCGGCGTATACAATGTATAGACTATACTCGACGTGGCGATTGGTATCGTCAATTTCGTGTGGGTATAGCTGATCTAAAGCCATGTGTGGGTACACCTACCTACAAAGGCGCACGGAATACAGCCGATTTACATTTAACAGCAACTGAACGGGACCGCCGATCGATTGTCAGTGACGGGACTAAAAGTCGGCAAGACTGACAGTGAAGCCGATAACATATTATGGTAAAATAATGAAACGCAATGAAACGGCTGTTTGTGATTAGGTACGGAGTCGGAATGACCGGATTGCGTTTCAAAACATTTATAAACGAACTTCACACGGTATCGTGTTACGTTAGCAATATTATTTATCGTTGCGTACAGACATGAATGAAATAGCATTATGCCGTATGTCAACTTCCCTTTACCGCTTATAACAGTGGCACACACTCATCCGCAGTAATCGTTTTTTTTTAATTTTTTTTTTTTTTTTTCTATACAGCCATAGTTTCATATACATTTGATTTCAAATGTTCTGCGACCGCGCTTGTAAGCATCTTGTTTACGAGCTTTTATCCATATTTCCCTCGAGTGTTCACTCGAATATTGAATTATATTGAATTTTATTTTTAAAATAAATTAGGATTTTAACTAAAATTGATTTCTGTTTTTTTTTTTTTTTTTTCAATCATTGTAGAATCGTCTATGCTTCAATATATATCCGATACTATTTTAAATTATCTTAAATAAGTGCATATACCTACACTTTAAATATGAATCCCCCATTTTAGACACAGACTCAAAAAGAGTATATTTTTCTAAACATTTTGATACGCGCAGTAACACCAAACATCGGTACTGACTATTGTTTACGAATTATAGGTTTGTAATAGTTTAAAATTTTTACCGGAGGAGTAGGAAAGGGAACCTGATAAACTTTTCAGAGTGCCTATACCTAATAACACTGACTAATATAACCTAATAAACGGTTTTAAAAGAACTAACAGAAAGTTCTGGCGTTTTTAGATTCTTGTGGCGAAACGGTATGGCGACGAGACGAGCAGCTCTGTTAATTATCGTATAGACAATATCTAAATTTTATTTTCAACCTACATTCGAACCGAGAATATTGTTCCAAAAACATTTTGTCCTGCATTAGATCGATGAATAATTTTTAAACCGCAGAAATAAACGCGAATGTTTCGTTAGCGCGCAGGATTTGAGTGAAATTTTGAAATATGAATTCTTTAAAATCGATTGCGCAACAATAAGGAAACGATACATTTACTAGACATTTTGTATGCATGAAAAAAACTATCTTTGGTTTGCGATAAGAAAAAAAATATCACCCTGTATAATGTGCTCACGTGAAACGCGGGCATAGAGTTCATTTTGCAATATTAAAATTATTAGTTTCCTGTGACTCGACTACTGCACGTGACAGTAATGCCCTGCGGCGGCATGTGCGCGTGGCAAATGTATGGGAAGATATTGCGGTTTTTGGAATTTTCGAGTAAGTAGGTATGAACCTAATATTATATACACGATGCCGGTAAATCGTATACCGTGTGTCGGTATATTTTATGGTAGAAAATGGAACGAGAGTAAAATCGCTAAAATAAAAAAACGAACTGACCGAGTACAAGAGCTATTAAGATTTATAAACGTTCATATTATACGTGTTATAGGTATGACATTATTGTAAATATTTTATGATTGTGACTTTGTATATTGTATACATTATCCAGATTTTAAAAAATTATTATATTGAACATATAAATTCTTCTTTTTCGCCTTTGTCCCAAATATTTGGGATCGGCCGCTCTCGTTCTAAACTTCCACATAATCCGATCCTCCACATCGTTTTCACCCGCTGTTTTTATATCAATTTCAACTACATTCAACTACCTCTTGTTCGATCTTGTTCATAAACCTAACCTGAACATAACCTAAGCTATCTCTCATGCATACTCATTTATGATCCTACTTTTCCTCTTCACTCTACTCATCCTCATAACTCATAAGCATTCTTATTGGCGTAAAAAAAAACAGAATAATATAATAATTGATTAGGTACAACTTGAATTTTTTAACATTAAAATACACAAAACAATATTACAAACATACTTTTATACTTTATAATTATTTTTCATTTAAAAGACTCCATTAATGAGAATATTGATCACTGAGTTAAGCGAGATGATAATATGTTGTTCAACGATAATGCTATAATAGGTCAGTTCACGGTTTTAGAAGACAACCCATCCCGTGCTGTCCCCTTTAATAAAGAAGTAGGGTACACTAGATTATTTAAAGAATTAGTTGAGGTACTTAGCCCCCCCCACGTCCTCTCAAATCAAACACCGGACTAGGTAATGATGCAAATTTGTCATACTTAATTGGTAAAATAAAATAAGTAATTTATCAACAAGTAATAAATATAAATTACTTTACCGTTTTACGAGTAATTTATATTTTAACATTGTTTTATTCAAATAACCAATAATCGTTACTAATTCCCGATTTTTGGTAAGTAAATAAATCACTATGTACGTATTATTCGGTTTTGTTTAGTTTTAATAAAATATATACAATATTGTCTGCCTAAGAGATTACGAATAACAATCTATAATAAATTAAAAAAGATTACGAGAGGGGAATCAAAATGTCCACAGTTATAGTTTGTATTTAAGTAATTCGTTAATTTCAATTATATTATTTTACTCAATTTTATACAGATAAATGACTTTTGTAATGTTATTGGGGAAAAGTAGTCTGACGGGGTAGTTACCAATAAGTAGGCAAGTAGTTTACCTACATACACACACTACTAATGGTAGTAAACGGCGAATTTAAATTATTCTAAATAATATGAATTCAAGAAGTAAAAGGGTGTAGACAAATTTCGTTTTTCGTTTTCGTTCCTATATCTGCTTTAATTCGTTACTTCATGAGGCACTCGGTTCCCGTCCACGTATATAAAAAAAAAAAAATAGTTAGCCGGGGCTATAGTCCAAACCATACCCGTGCGCTCTCCCCCCTGGTCTGTAATGTAAATTGATAGGTAGGTATAATATTACTATTAGACGATTCCTATTTATAAAGCACGTTGGGGAAAGGTTAGGTCGCGTGGCACTGTTTGTCAGTCCCTCACGTAAATAACTTTCATGTTTCACAGACCCACATGAAATAATGCTAACTAAGGGAGTGAAAACGCGAAGGGAAATTTCGTTTTTCATTTTCTGT